ATTTGCTCTTTGTTATTATTGTGATGTGTGAGCGACTGTGTCCAAATAATTTCCCTTGTGGATCACTAAAATCTAAGTCTAATTATGCCAGTGACTATGTCACGTGTATTGTGTAAACAAGTTTCTTTCCACTAAATAAGCAGAAAAAAAAATCACTTTTGGCAATATATTGAGCAGCCCATGTAACAATACTTGCATCACCAAATTTAATATCATAATATATCGATATTCTGATATTTTTGCACACACCTAAAAATAGAAACACCTGATTAAAACTCAATGGAGATAGAAATCCACTTTCTCCTTCAAGTCCACACTAGCCTTTTGAAGCCTAACAGCAGCAGTCCTCCTCTGATAAATGTGTGTGACTGTGCTCTCTCTGACCCACGACAACGAGGGGTGTTTTTAACTGTAGCCTATTCACCACAATAACACTCCACTACAGGACTGTAAACTGTGAACACAATACACTAATATTCTCTACTTTATATATGTGCATCAGTTTCACTTTTTATTATAGAGTTCTGTGATGAAAAACATATAACATGCAAACACAGCAGAGCTGCACTCTACTGCCCTCTGATGATCACTTACTTCATATATTGGTTGTATAATGCATCCTTGTTCTTGACCAAGTTCTCAGATATTCTTTATGGAGCTCAAAAGTGACCATCCAATCCCAGTTTCAGAACTAAATTTCTCATTCATTTTTCCCGTTGACTTTCTTTGAAAAGTCTATTTCAAATTAAAGTTTGAAAGCTTGTTCAGGGCTAATCAGCTAGGTAACTCATGACCTATAATTGTATTTAAAATCTGCTTCTGAAACTGCTAAGTTATTAAAGCATTTGCCAAATCTTGTGTTTTAACTCTGCTTTTTGGGCTTAAAATGAGCACTTTTTGGATATTAGTTACTACATAGCTGCTTAGCCTCCACAGTCCCTTTGAACTCTGAATATTTTAATTTTCGAAAGGTCTGTGAGAAAAAGAATGGAAAATTTACTTCAGGAACCAGAGGAGGTGGCCACAGTTAAGCTCCATTAGTGCCATCAAGATTGCTTGGGGGGATAAAGCTAAGTGGAAGCACTGCTCTGTCTCTTTGTGACTCAAGTTGACCTTTAATATGAGCTTGGTTTTAATACAGTCTCGTCAAAAAGAACTGACTTAGTTGAAACTATAACAAGTAGAGAGAGAGATACTTTATTGATCCTGAGGGAAATTCAAGATAAGATGTTTGGTATCTTCAAAAAGTCTCAAAAGGTTTAAAATTGCATTGCAATCACAAGCAAGCATTAACCAAGTTTTTCATTTAGTCAGTCACCATTTTTATTGAAAATGTAACATTTAAACAAGACCATGAACGCTAGCAAATATTGATCACAGGCTCCTTTTGTATTTTTTCTTCAGTTTTTAGTCCATCTAAATCTTACCAGGCTATCTTTTCTAATCTGTATATTGTATCACCACCTTATGCACCCCCTCAAGATGGAGGATGATTTCTTGAAAATGACATTTAACTGAACTTAAAGGTCTTATATAACACAAAATGTATTCTTGTGAGCTTTAAGCCATGTTATAATATTCTTACCTCATCAAAAACATACCTGGAGTTGTGTTTTGTTTCATTTACACATGTTTCTGTAATCCTGGTGTATTAGTCTTTCTTCATCTCCAGAGCTCAAAATGCTCTGCTCCACCTTGTGATGTCATGAAGAGGCACTTTTCAAGTTAACAGCTACTTTTTACCTTTAGTGCAGTTGAAATAAACAATTCCAGGGCTGAAATCATCCAGTGATTGTAGTGAAGGTGTATGGAGTTTAAAAACACAGTAGAGCACTTTCTGTATTACCACATGACAACATAAGGTGGAAGTGGGAGTGTTTTCTGTTTGAGAAGAACTCAGCCTAAATATGCAGGATTTGTGTGTTAAAACATGAAGCAAAACACAACTCCAGGTGAGTTTTTGATGAGGAAACATTATAACATAGATCAGAAAATGGCGTAATATGAGTCCTTTAATGCTGTACGATGCAAACACCCAACAGTAAATGTCTTCTATTCATACATTTACTGAGCGTCATTGCCTTATGTCACCTCTATTTGTGTTTGCCAGCAGCAGGTGTGGGAAAACCCTATTCAGGATCCAGAAATCCAATCTAAACCTGTCATCTTGTACTATTGTCAATATTAACGTAACCATCACACCAGCTCTGCACACTCCGAATCATTCAGCTTTCATCCTTCTCCCCCGTTCCATACTTTAAAACACAATTTACCTTGTGTTACGACCCAGCTCGTTTGGGGTGAGGGAAGTAACAAAAATAAAACCAAGATGTAAAATGGAATAAATTAAGTAATGTTTAATTAACAGGAATGTAAAGGTAAATTAACAAAACACTAAAAATATACAGAAAACAACCTAAACTAAGAAACAGAACAGCAGAATAAACAGAGTTTTGTGCCAGAAAAGGGGTCACGCAGGCTTACACAAAAACAAGTGGTAAAACTTAGGGACACACACTAAACTAAAACACAAGTTCCCCAAATTAAACCACATAAACCCACAAACAGAATCGAGTGACCAAATCAAAAAAGGCACAAAACAGAATGAGACTAAACTACATACACGAAACCAAAATGGCAGACTGGCCACCAAGGCCAGCAGCCCCGAACAGGTGCTGGCAATCTCCTTAAATAGGGGGAGGTGGCTGCAGGTGAAGTGGGTGTGGACTTGCCCCACCAATCACAGACCAGGGCTCGTGCAGCAGGAATCAAGAGAACTCTGCAGAAATATTACAACTAAGGCCTGGGGCCGTAACACCTTGTTCATTGTATTTCTTATCACTTTCTCTCATGAAGCCTGCATTGTACTTTGCTTGCTGGAGTCCCATGACGCACCATAGCTCCCTACCTACCCCCCATACAAACATCTTTTCAGAGTTTCTTGGCTCCGGGACCTGGGAGCACAACATTGTTCTTGTACACCATAGTGAGTTCTGTACAGTGTCTTATACCTCAGTGCTTGGTCTTCACACAACTTGTATCCTCCACTGAATTGGCTATTATTCTTTCTCCTCTGCCTCAGCTTCAGTTTCCGCAGGTACAGTATCCACTGTATACCGCTGTCACTCCCATCCTTCCTTTGTCTTTTACCGTTGATGTTCTTTGGTCTGTTGCACCAGATTTCTACGGTCTGACAGCCTGTTTCCTCTCTTTTCCAAATCTAAAAAAAACAAAACCAAAAAAAAAAAAAAAAAATACTAAAAACTGATGATCCATAAACTCAACTTTCCCTGAGTGTGACTATAGTTGGAAAATACACTATAAACCTATTTTGACCTTTTTATCTGCATCTCCTGTCTCCACCAGGAATTCTTTGCTCTTAACGTGTAAAATCATAATATAGTTGAACATAGTTGGGAGATGTGCTGAAGATTGGAGGAAAATATTTTATTACATTAGGCAACGATGCCATCTGCTGGAAAAATAATGAAGCAGCACAATATATCTATAACATGACGTAATGCATTGTGCGTGCGTGGTAAACGTGCAGCATCACCCGTGCTTGTATTGAGATTATAGTACATCAAGTTTAAATAAATAAACAAATAATACATATAAATAATGCTAATTCATCTTTAGAAACACATCTAAGCATTTCTTGTATTTCAGCAGACTGAGAGGACATTGCATCAAAGTTCTGATTAGCAAATGGTTTCCCAACTACACATTATAAGCAACAGAGAAAAAAAAAATGCCATATTGAATGTCCTCACGGTTGAATTCAATACGGCAACTCTAGACAACTCTGTACAAGGGGAAAGATTAGATAGCGTGGCTTGCTTCCTTGATTTTTATATTTTATAGTAACAACAATACAGATGGATAAGAAAACTCATTACAGCAACAGTATTGATCAGACATGGCAACATGGGGGCGGGGACTTTGTTACAAAGATAAAATGTAATTGGGTGTAAAATATTTTCACTGCAAAATGTGTTAATAAATGTTTTTGTTAATGAATATGTGCCCCATGAGACATACTGCTGCACCACAACATTAACAATTTCCATGCCTGCTTTGGCATATATGGTGTAATGTAATTTTTCATCACATACACTGTTAGAGTTTGTGTGTATAATTACTGGACATCTCACATTTTGAGGTGAAATGTGGGTGAAGAGAATGAACCACGAACACAAGATGCAATGACAGGAAAAGGCTGTTGCTCTGGTTCCTGTGGTGAGCTGTTAGACCACTGACACTGACACAGTATGAGCAACACCTCACATACGTTTTATATATTGTACTGTTTGTGACATATATGCAAGCTGGATTTCATAGACAACTTAATTGTATTCATATTTTGTTAACAATGCATTAATTATTTTCACTTTCAGATTTATCTTGTGGTTTAACATAATGACAACTTTGAAAATGCAGTATATGGAATTTTAGTTAGCGACACACGCCTATATTATGATATACAAAATGTGTGTTACACTTTGGGGAATAGAAAAAAAAAAAAAAAAACATCATGCACATGGTTATGCATGCTGGGCAGTGAGTTGGGGAAGAAGAGAGACATACAAATTGCTGGATCGACTCACATAATGACACTGAGGTCATGTGTTCTGCAGCCCAGATTACAGTCGTGTAACATTAATGTTTCTTATTGTTCACAGTGATTACTTGTGCAACATATACAATGCATGTGACGCTGAGATACATTACTGAACCACACCAGCTTTTATTTTGGAAATATATTCTCTCCTCTGCCACAAGGTGGTGCCAGTGATTACTGTATTTCTGAGCACGGAGTTGCTCTCAGTGGTGTGTATAATGTAAAGTAGACGCAGTAGTCTCTGAAATTTAATGAAATTAGCTTTTATTACTCCTGTCATACTTGTTTTACTTAGGTATATAATTGTAATATCTGCAGATACATCACTGATGAAACAAGCAACATGGTCATCATTAGATTCAAATGTTTCCATACAATAGCCAGACTGTAACTGGGATACTGAGGGATCTCTTCAAAACATAATCACAGCAAAAAGAAAAACTCTAAAAGCTTTGACAAGCTTTGTGCCAGTCCAAAGCTTGGATAAGTGTGAGTCAGTACATTACATGAAAATGTCTAAAGACAAATTATGAGGCATTTTCCGTGGGGTAGATGAGGAATCCCGAGAAGCTGTTGAGTCCCCTGATGTTGCCACAGAGCTTCCTGTCCTGCACCAGCTCTGCACACACCTGGTCCCCCTGCTGCAGAGACAGAAGCACATTCTGAGAGCCACTGTCCTCCATGTCCTCAGAGTTGTCCTCCCACACAGACACCACTGGGTGACCATTCTTTGTGAGCTGTACTCTGTGGTACATGTGCAGCCCGGCCTGCTGCAGCCTGGAGTACACTGACAGAGAGAAGGAATACACCCCCGACACTGGAGCCGTGAATAGTCCTAAAGGAGCACACAGCAATAGTATAATGACACGGATAGGCTTTGGGGAGCAGACAGACATCAATCTCTATAAAAATATAGAGATATTCTGGATTTGCCAGGCAATCACAATTATGCATACCATGCACATTACCATTTAAGTGAGTAATTCTCTCTTTTCTGACACGTCTATTTAATACTTTCTTTTAATTGCAAATGCTGTTCTGTCCATGTCTGGGTCTCACAGTTTATGTATTCATGAACTGTTGATCAGACCTTTGATGTGTTTAGTCAAGTCAGTGGGTCACTTACTTAAACAATGCCATTTTCAATCAAAACAAAAGTAGCAGATAGTCATTATTTACAGTGTCTTAACTATTTATCATTTATTAATCTTACCAATATTATTAACATACTTACCCAGCCCAGAATTGTACCCACGTCCTTCATTCAGGGAGATGACATCGTAAGGGATAGTGACATTTCTCTCAAATGGTCCAATACACTTTATGTCTTCTCCCAGGAAGACAGTGAAGGCTACATTTACTGGTCCTGTCACAGAAGGCAGCCACACCAATATTAGGAAGAATTTAATTATATAACACAACACTAAAAAAAAGACAAATGTAGAAAAGTCTCAACAAGACACAATATTCAAATGACAGAAATTAACTATTTCAAATTTACTCATTTACAGTAAACAATTTTTTTTAATACATTTCTGTGACAGCGATACATTAGAATTTGAGTGTCCTTTTAGATACATGCACCACTGTTTTGGCTTGTTTCTTTGCCTCTATGTGAGTTTACCTATGACTTCATGGATCTCATCTGAGAGCTGGTTGATTTTCCCAGACACTTCCTGGAATGTCTCCATAACCTGGTCTCTCAAAATCTGCAGCTCCACATTTCCACAGCAACAGCTCTGCGACCTGAAGGCACAGTTGCAGTCCCACGCTAGACAGGGAATATCACCCACCCACTTCTCTGATGGGGGCAAAAGAAAAATATTACTAGTCAATCTATGAAACTATTTAACAAATGCAATAAAGTAATTTTATTGTTTGTTTGTTTTTGGTGTATTGTGTTGTAATATATTCGTATCTTCTATTAGTATTGTAACTACTGCCTTTACCGCCTTCTAATGGTTTTAGTAAATCATCTATGATTATACAAACATGTATGTACAGTATTTTCTGTATTTACCTGCTGCTTCTTTAAGATCCTTTACTGTGACTGTTGTTTTCTGAGTGTTGGCACAGTCCAGCAGAAGTCCCCCTACAAACACCACATAAACTAGGAGCCTCATGGTGCTTCACAACAGTCACTCACGCAAACCTGCAGGAATACAGGAGGACATTAGCTCATTTGAACAGCATGAACATTTAGTCACAAGAGCATATTAAAAAAATTTGGCAGAATATGAAATTAATGCTTACCTTTGATTCAGATGGTGGATCTTGTTTTCAGTCGAGCACAATCTGTAACTTTGAGTCTGTTCTGTTCCTAAACCCTGTGAATGTATGTGTCCTGTTTGGGACAGGGTCCACCCCAGCACAGCCCCCTGTAGACCTGTGCTCAAAACTTCTGACCATGTACAGCCATTGTGTGTGAGCTGCTAATAAGGCCAGAGGTGTCAGGTGAACTGATAGCATCGCTCAGTTTGTTCTGAAAGGCACATTGTTTTATTTGGCTCTTGATGACCCATCTGGTTCAGGTTACTGCAGTCTTATATGTCCTATATGTGTGTGAAGCATCTAAACAATGAGAGGCCAGGGACCCTCAGGTAAAGACCTGTGTGATGGTGCTAGAGATATCTGCTGGCCTATAATGCATTCTCATACTATTTGGTATTTTAGTATTTAACATTTAACATTCGTTGTTTGTTAGCTCTGTAATTATGTTGACATATATTCATAGTTTATTCCTTTCCCAAAGCACAGTGTAAAAAGTACATTAGTCACAATTTAGTTCTCAGATTGTTATATTGTCACATAATGTATGTATTATTTGTGTCTGTCTTTTGCTGTGGCTTTACAGTCGGGAGGTTTCCTCATAATGTTCACAAACCATATAAGTCTGTGGTTTTATTTTTATTTTTGTACATTCACATTCATTCAACACAATATAGTAACATTTCAAACTAAACTTACCAATAAATAAGACACAATGCAAGTGATAAACTGGAAGATTATTATTGTTCTATTACACTTTGGTCATTTTGTGATTGCTAACAGACATTGAGATTATACTTAAATGTACATTTTACATATTTTTGCATTTTGTTAATGGCATATCTTTCATTCATAAGGCACAATGCAAATCTAATACCAACATTTTGGTCACTGCTTTAACATTCAGAGTAAAATGGAAATTTAATTATGATAGAGGATGTGGGCTACAAGATAATAGTTTTTTTTATGTTCCATGGGAGGATCTTGCCAGTAAGTATCATGTATCATTCATTACCCCATTGGTATTTCTATTTAAAAATAGATGAACGTTATTACTTTTCTCATAATAGGTGAGTTAAGCCTCTTTAACTTTGTCGTCATAAGTGCCACTGCCTTTGTACGCGCCCACATATCCACTAGTATCGGCGATGTCCTCTCTGCCCGCCTTCCCCTTCCCTTTCCCCGACTCATCAAAGCGCTCCTTGTGTGCCCCTGTGTACTTGCTGGCATCTGTGAGTCTGTCCACCGCAGCAGCCTTTGCAACTTTCTAAAACAGACACAACAACACTATTTTGTACTAGCACTTTTATAGTAGTCAGATTGCTTTATTATTATTATTATTATTATTATTATTATTATTATTATTATTATTATTATTTAGAATAACTCACGGTGACTCCAACATTAGCAGGCTCCTTCCCAGCAATGAGGCTGTACATCTGCTGCAGCGCCTCCTCCTGGCTCTTTCCTTTAAAGCGTTTTGAAGCCAGCTCTGCCAAGGCCTGCTTGAACTGCTCAAAAGTTATCACTCTGGCTGTTTTTGCCCTTAAAAAACATAAGTAGAAATACATGGATTTGTGTTACCGAAAATAGTGTTCATAATATGGTCAGCCTTTTGGAAATATTTTCTTACTTGACTTTGCTGAAAACGATGTCCACATCTGTAGTGGTGACGTTTTTTCCATCAGTGATACGACAGTCCTTGCACAGTTTTGCAAAGTTCTTGTTGTTCATCTCCTTGCCAGTGGCTTTAGTGTCACCATGAACTGCAAACTTCTGGAAAGCAGTTTCAACATCTGCCAATGATGCTGCTGAGGAGTCAGCCATACTGTGGAAAAAAACACTATCTCCTCAGATATGCTCACATTCACAACAACATTAAATGTTCAATCAAAGTCTGTTTTTGGTTTGGGTTATATGAGTGCAGTATTTGATGACAGCATTAAAATATTTAGACATGCAAGCTGGAATTCATCACTTTGGTATTGAATTCTTGGTATTGTTGAAACCAGTGTTTATTTATTACCAGGCAGTACTGAGACATCATCGTGACTTTGTTGCTATGGGCAAAACAAATGTTATTTACTATGTTTACTACTACTGATTAAAAAGTAATGGTCTTAAAACTGATCCTTGTGGTGCACCACAGGTAACTTCATATTGACCTGAGGTTTACTAATCAAGATAAGTCCTTAATTTAAGGTTCATTGCCCACACGCTCTGGGGCTGCTGCTACTGCTGCTGCATAATTACTTTTTGATCAAGAACCTCATCTCGAAAAGGGACCTGGCTCAAAAGGAAGAACTCTGAAATGACGACTCCATTAACTAATTGAACCACAGGCTGCCAAGAAATGCCCTCCATGACGAATCTCCTAAATGGACATTTTCTATTACTGATGTGCAAACACTTATACTAATCATCCATCACACTCTCTTCCTGCTACCCGAGCTGCTCTCGGGCCAACTTAATTCAATCATCTCAGTTTCCGAATGGTCCAGCTTCCCTTATGGTTTGCAATTCAGTACATTATTTCATTTTATAACATTTAGTTTCTGTTTTTTTCAAATATGTTTTGCACTAATGAATAAACAACACCTTGTCAAAATCTACCCTAAATCTACCCTTTTATGTGGTACAACAGCATCATCACAGACCATGCTATATTCATTCATATTGTTGAAGTTATACAGCTGCTTGTAAGTAAACACATCAAAATAAAATAACATAAGTAAAAGATAAAAGATATACCTGTCTTTGGATGGATGCTATTTTTGGGATGCTCCTGATTTCCTGCGAGTAGTCACAGTCCTTCGTCCTCCTCTTCCTCGTCTGACTCCAGAGTGTCTCCTCCCCAAACCCCGCCCATAGAGTCTCGCGAGGACACAGACAGGACAGACAATGGAGACAGGAGGAGGGAGAGGGCACCAACCAGCACCAAGTATGACATCATGGTCGGCCTGACTCTCATCTCCCTATTTAGATCCACCGCTTCTATAATTTACACCTGACTTCATGGTTACAGCGTTGTTGTTTGGAACTTGTTTATTTTTCTGGCTGAGAAAATAAAACTGAAATTGATCCTTTATTTGGAGGCGTTACAACCACAAAAAAAAAAAAAAAAAAAAAAAAAAAAAAAAAAAATCATAAATGTTGTTTCAATTGTTAGTAATACATTTTATTATTATTATTATTATTATTATTATTATTAGTAGTAGTAGTAGTAGTAGTAGTAGTAGTAGTAGTAGTAGTAGTAGTAGTAGTAGTAGTAGTAGTAGTAGTAGTAGTAGGAGTATTAGTAGTATTTTTTAATTTTTTATTTATTTTATGAGCTTATGAACTTATTTTCAGTGTACAGACTAAGTAGGGTGTACACTATATTTTGTGAGATAGGACAGCTGTCTAGTTTATTCTGTTTATTACTTTTGTTGTGATGCTGCACTAATGATAATAATGATAATTTACAAATATGCATTTAAAACACATCATCTTATCTCTCTGTTACACTGGAAATAACTCATTGAATAAGAAACTCACCCAACAGTTGTCTGACATAAACATGATCTAATAATCTTGATAATGGATGTTGATAACGGATGTGTAGCATTGTTATTCAATTTGTCAAAACTGCAAATACATTTCATCTAACTAACTTGAATAAAATGTTGCATGTTTATATTTTCCATTTCATATACCAGCATTTACGCAAACAGAGACACTGGATTTGTTGACTCCATAAACAGAGACAAGCAGACTGTTTTGCCATCACAGACCATCATGGAACTCAGCTCTCAGTCAGGTGGAGAGATTCAACAACAGGACTTGCAATCTCATGGCTTGTTCCAGGATAATTTACTCTATTTTAGATATATTGTAAAGTCTAATACAAAACAAAACAAGGCTCTTTACACTGTTAAAAAAACAAAAAAACAATGTGCCTACAACATAGTGGTCTATATAAACTACATTTATTAACTCAGAAGTGATAAACAAAAGTGACCTCCAAAGTTGTTTACTAGCTGAAACCTGCTGGTTATGCACAATCTGTCAAGGTTTCGCACACACTCTGAGAGGAAGGGAAATAAAGCTACTGCTTACACTAATAACAAACCCTTGCCTTTAAATGTTGGTTAACATGAGGAGTGCCTCTTTTGAAAGGCTCACAGTGGACAGATAGCTTGTCGGTACATCATTTCCATGGCTGAGTACGACATGGCTGAGTCTGGCTTTCCTTTGCCCCCCGAGGCCTATTGTCCCCTGTGCGCGGACACGCTGAGAGACCCAGTGACCATACCCTGTGGAGACACCTACTGCCTCGAGTGCATCAAAGTTTATTGGGACCAGTTTGACCACATGGGGGTGTACAACTGTCCCCAATGTCGCTCCACCTTCACCCCACGTCCTGTTCTGAGAAGAAATGTCCCAGATGTCCACCATGAGGCCAGGAGACAACTACCAGAGCTTACCCCTTTCCCAGACTTGCAGCGGGAATCCTTCTGTGACTTCTGTGTGGGCCGTCGCCAAAGAGCAGTCAAGTCCTGTCTCATGTGTTTGGCGTATTATTGTGAGACCCATGTCAAACCGCACTATGAATCATCCACATTTAAGAGACACAAGCTGGTGGACGAGACGGGGCACCTGGACAGGAAGATCTGCCCCCACCACGAGAAAGGCCTGGAGCTGTTCTGTCGCTCAGACCAGATGTGCATCTGTGTGCTGTGTACAGTTAGAGAGCACCGTGGACACAACATCACCTCAGCAGAGGAAGAGCGCATCGAGAAACAGGTTCAACACATAAATTACTATAAACCTAAAATATTATTGTAGGAATGTCAATTAAATGTGAGGTGAATTAAAAGTAACTGCATCAAAAACATTAATGATAGGTTTGTCATTCACAATGTCACTTATCTGCTTCTTTCTAAGGAGATGCTGATCCTCTGGCTAATCTTCCAGAGTATGATTTTATGTTTCTTTTTCCATGTAGTGTTGCTTTAAGTTGAGCAACAAAACTCATGAATAGCATACAGGGAAACTAATTTTACATTTCATACTTTTTTGTTTCATATTGTTTTACTTTGTCGTGTATTTCAATTCTAGTGAAAATAATAATAAAATAAAATTTAAAATAAGGCGATTTGTGACATAAAGCACTCTTTGTCTGGTAATGTTAAAATGTTCAATAAACAAATATGGAAAAAAATATATAAAAATAAGAAAATAATATTTTAACATGTCAAAAATAACCACATTTCACTCTATATTTTGTCACTAGAAAACCTTGGTTGTGACTCAGACTGAAGTTCAGCATCTAATACAAGAGAGGGCAAAAGAGCTACAGGAGCTGAAACACAATGTGGATGTTCTCAAGGTAAGATAAAAAACATATAAATACAAAGAGTCACTGCTCTGAACTGTGCATCTGTGGCTCCCTCTGCTGGTGTGAAGTCACATTACCTTCTGTGTACAGAGTGCAGCTCAGCGGGCCCAGACAGAGACTGATAAGACTTTCCATGAGATGCTGCAGGCAGTGGAGCGCTGGAAATCAGAGATAAACCAGATGATCATGTCCAACATGCAGTCAGCCATGTTACAGGCCGACAGCTATGTGGAGCGACTGGAGCAGGAGATCATGGAGCTGCAGAGGAGAGACGCGGAGCTCAGGCAAATTCTGGAGACAGAGGACAATATACACTTTTTACAGGTAGAAACTCCTCTCACAATCAAAGCAGTATTAGACCATATAACCATGTGTATGATGACATGCTCACACAGAACTTCCCCACTTTGTGTGTGGCTCCTGAGCCCATGGTGCCGAAGGTCCTCATGAACCCCCAGTTCTCTTTTGGAGACATCAGTAAAACTGCTATGGACATGAAGGAACATCTGGACGACATCTGCAAGAAGGAACTCAACAAGATCTCCAAAACAGGTCTTGGGTCTTTTAAGAGAATCATAGTGTCATTGTTGATTGTCGTTAAGCAGTTGGCGTTGTATATTTTATACTTTATGTACATGACAACCTGGTTCCCTGTATGTTTTCAACAGTTAGTGAAACTCCAGTGTATATTCTTCTGCCAAGAAATGGAGATAAAAGAGTAAAAAGTAAGTGAATATTTCTACATATATTGTCTATATCAAATACGCTTTAGGCAAATAAGATACAGTACAAATATATAACAATAAATAATATCCTTTGCAATTTTTCTCAGGTCCCTCAAGAGTGGACTTTCAGGAGCCAAAAACAAGAAATGACTTTTTGAGATGTGAGTAATGTAGCCTACAATGCAATGTCCATCCTTGTATGCTAGTACATCATATAGGCTTTAATGCTTTCCCTATAGACTCTTGCAGGCTGACCTTTGACCCCAACACAGCATACAAAGAGCTGGTGTTATCAGAGGGGAACCGCCGCGTCACCAGGAAGAAGACGGCTCAGTTCTACCCGGACCACCCTGAGCGCTTCGACGGCTTCTCCCAGGTCCTGTGCAAAGAGCCCCTGAGCGGCTTCAGGTTCTACTGGGAGGCCGAGTGGAGCGGGGAGTTCTCTGTGGGCGTGGCCTATCGTAGCATCAGTCGTAAGGGCAAGAACTCACACAGCCTTCTGGGATACAATGACCGGTCCTGGAGCCTGCTGTGCTCGGATAATGGATATTCTGCTTGGCACAATAAAGTGGATCGAGACCTCCCCAATGCACCCAGGGCCAGTAGGATCGGGGTGTACCTGGACTACGCGGGTAAAAGCCTGTCCTTCTATGCAGTGTCTGAATCTATGGAGCTCATACATAAGTTCAAAGCAGAGTTCTCAGATCCGCTGTTTGCTGGTTTTGGAGTAGGGTCGTCAGTGTGGCTCTGTCAGCTAAAGAATACTTCCAACTGAGTTAAAATGATTTCAAGTTTATTACAGTGACAGACACCAATCATAACAGTAGTAGTAGTAGTTTGGTAGAAGCACACAAGTACACAAGTCTTCAATAAAGATCTCCAGTCCCTCCATCTTTTAGATAGGTTACATAGCAAGAAAATTAAATTCTGTCTATTTACATAAGTTTTGAATGAAGAGTTGGGAAGAATATTTTGAAGATGTATTTAGTTACAGAGTACAGAACACCTGATGTAAAATATATTTTGTTATGGTTCAGTCAAAGTACTGCATTCTGAATATTTGAAATACTTTAAGTTGTATTATATCATTGTGTAAAAAGCTTATGATTAAAAATAACTTTATGTTTGTTGTACCATTTATTGCATTGATATCTCACTGATTAAAAGAAGAAAAATCACACATGCACTAAACTGCGTGATCAAATATCATGATGCATTTACTGTAGAAAGTAATTGTTCACTGAATACCACCAAACAGGGTTCCTGTACCGGAACAATTCTTATTTTCTTTTTTCAGCCACTGACAAAAGTGCATTGTGCAATGGAGGTTGAGCACAACAAGTAGTGAGTGTCTCAGGTCCCACTAACTGAATCAGACTATTGTTAAAAGGGGAGGTCACTTCAACATTTGCTCTTTAAAAACACTCTAGAACAGGGGTCTCCAACCTTTTTCTTCTGGTGAATTACTTTTACAAAAAGAAAATGCCAAAGAGCTGCTTTTTTTAGTGGTTACAACAAATTGAGCACAAGAAAGCCTTAGATGGGGAACAGTTCAATACCTATAAAACATAAACCTTTATCTATTTATTAGTACACAAAGTTATGCATCAAAATTTACAATGGTGGTTCATCAAATTTGAGCCATTAAGCACACTATGTATAATTTAGAAATCCTTTGGCAAGCTACTTAGAAGCTAGAAGGGGGTCAATTGGTCAAACGATGGTAAATGGTCACATTTTTATATAGTGCTTTACCACCGTCAAGGGCACTCACCTATTCACACAGACATTCATACAACAGTTTACACATACACACACTGGGAGCATGTGTCTTGCCCAAGGACATGACATCATTCATCTGTGGGAGCTGGGATTGCACCTCCAACCTGTGGGTCAGTGGATCTGACAGCTCAACCAATGATGATTATATTGAAAGAGAGATTAGAACCACTAACTGATTCGAAGATCAATGGACAAACACCCTGCCAACTGAGCTACTGTTGCCCACATTGCCTGCCCTGGTCCTGCCCCGATTATTATTATTATTATGATGATGATGATGATTATTATTATTAATTAAAACACTGCAAATTAAAACACACACAAAAACAAACACTTAAAACATGTTAAACAAATATTGCACTATTATATTGCACATATCCAATTAAATTAGTTATTATAGTCTCCTTTTCCCCTGCAGCTTCAAGTAAAATGCAATGTGCTTTCATGTCTAAAATTGGGTAAAAAAAAAAAAAAAGAGACATTTTAATCAAAAGTTGTCTAATAAATGGGTGGTTTGTTACGGCGTAATCTAACTCCAATCCACTATTTGAATAGTATCACTTAATTTGTCAAACCACGCTCATTTAGGGCATGTTTGTATTAGCAGCAGCTGAACATTGTTGTTTTGGAGCATTTGATAGGCAAAGCAGGCAGCACTTAAAACAGGTACCACGTAACCTCTCACAGCATTAGTTCAGTTTGACCACACTGTTGGAGAGCGTAAATCTTTGGAGAGGTAAGGAACACATGGGAATCTTTATAGGATACTTTTTATTCTTTTTGTCTGAAATTCTTTGTTCTTGTTACAGAAAAATGAACGACACATTCACATGGCTTGATGACATTAACATTATTTTAATTCAGGCTTTGAGCTCACTCAACATTGTGATGCTGCTGCCTCTGAACTGCTACGTCATTTGGCTGATGTTCACTGGGACCAAGAGGACCATGGAGTCTGATATTTTCTCTCTAAATCTGTCTCTGTCTGATTTATTAGTTGGTTTGGGTGCAATATGGCTTATTATCACCTATAATACCCAAATTCTTCAGTACATGTACCCCTACCTGTTCTCAATGGGCTTCCTGTTCACTGCCAGACCACTCTTCCAAACGTGCATCTGTGTGGACTATTACCTTGGCGTTGTGCACCCTGTGTATTTTCTCAAGTATAAACCTCTTCGATACAGAGTGGCTTTTTGCTGTGTTGCTTGGCTCTGCATTTTTGCCTCCTGCATCTATTGTTGTTTATACTTCACAGTTGTAGTTCATCATTTTACATTTTTCATCCAGACTTTGCTCTTTATGGCAATTGTAGTTTTCTGCTGTCTTTCTGTCCTCAAGGTGCTGAAGAACCCGGGACCAGGGGAAAACATAAACAAAAGAGCAGAGAGCAGCAAGTCAAAACAAAAAGCCTTTAAAATGATATTTTTTATCCTAATTAATATGATTATTAATTTTAGTTTCGCAGTTGCTCCAGTCCCACTGCAGTATTACATGGATTTGTTTGAATACATTAATTTGATGACTGTGTGTGTAGCTGTGTCCTTGGGCACTGGGATCATGCAGCCACTTCTGCACCTGTACAAGGTCAACAAACTAGCCTGCTGCAAGAAGGTTTAACTCTGCACATTATGAGACAATCTATTACATTGGTTTGTATATTACACATGGTCTTAAAAGTGTCTACACTATATATATATATATATTCTCACTGAAAGCAGAATGGAACCGAGTACCTGTATGGAACACACTTAAAATACATGACTGAATCACTTGTATGTAATGCCATGTTTGCCTTATTTGTTATGCGTTTTCTAAAATGTTTTTGCAATGCTTTATTTTGTCAGCGTCAAATTAAAAAAATATGTACTTATGGTGTGTAAATAATGTATTGTATACAAGAGAAAATATTACTCAATTTAATTAAACTGAAAAAGGTAAAACGCAAAGCTCCAAAAGGGGATTTATACTTGGTCAACTTCTATGAGTGTTTAACTTTATTATAACTGCGTTCCCAAGTTGTGAGCATACTCAGTATTGTATTTTGATTGACTCAAGCGATCCTGCATTTGAGATTTTTGTGTTGAAAAAGTTTGTTTTTACTGATCCATTATCCCCACCCCCATCCTAAAACACCACATCCTAAATTAAAAGTTGAATCGTACACATAGGGTTAAAAAATGTTCAGGAGTCTTCAAAATTAAAAGCAGGACAAATGAAAAAAAAAAAAAAAAGTTGACGCCAACATGAAATGCCTTTATTAAAATGTGAGGATTTTCTGCTTTGTACCTTTTAAACATGAAGTGGTTCAATTTCTTGGCCATTATTAAGCTAATTAACAATGAACGTTACCCCTAAACTTGGAGATCAAGAGTATTTAGGCTAACTTCTGATGATTACTTGAGCTCAAATCAAGTGCGCAGTTGAGTCTGGAGAGTACACCTGTGCTGCTCAGCATGTAGACAAACTGACAGGGCAGAGGCTTGTTCTCAGACAGTTTCTTTATCTGTGTTACTTTGAAAAGCTCATAAGGCGGAACGAGCACTTCTCTCTCTGCCTCTCCGAGTTTGGAGAAGAGCGAGATGTCCGCTCCAAAGCACGTGGTGATCTCGAAACAACTCCTGTCCCCAAATCTCGCAGCACTGGGGTACCAACCCAGAGATGCTGAGGTAAACGAGCCGAAGCGCACGTGTTTGTTCAGGACATCCCGAGGGAAGTACCCGTTCACCCTGCGGAACCCGGTCACGCACCGCTCCGCCTCGTTTCTGCGCGCATTAAGTTTCTGAATGGCGCTGGTCAGAAAGTAGTGAAGCGAGTGGTATTTAAAAGAGCTCTTGTATTTCTGTCCCTGCGTGCGCACGGCGTTATTAAAATCTATATAAACATTGGGTTCGTCCAGGGTATACATATAAATAGACATGATTTGTTCTTTGCCAAGGGAAGTTGAAGGTCTTTTTCCCTTTTTGCCCTTCCAGATTTTGTTGTAGTTTTTCTCAGCCAGACGCCAGGCAACAGTAAAATTATTTTGCGCTCTGTTTTTCTCCAGGGGTAGATATTCTTTTCTCACTTTGGAGTCCATCTGGTCTTTGCAGCCACTGTACATGTCATCCACAGCGTTAAGAGCCATGTCCAGTGTTAAGTATTTAGGTGGAGCAGGTTTCTGTAACACAGTTTAACAGTATAAGTTACATTTAAAAGTGCACTGGGTAACTTTTTGGTTGGAGGTTTGTCACCTGCTTGTTTTTATGGACATGTCACTGCTCTGTCAGAATGTTCCACAATATGACATTCTGTCTACCTTACATTTATTCAGTTACAGGTGGTTTTACTGCTCAAAATTACATTAAAAAACAGGTATTCTGACTGAACAAGGTTGCTTCTCCACAGATCTGACCTGTAATTTGGTCTGGTTTGATCTCCATGAAGATAGACAGGTTTAATAACGTACTGTGAAGCATTCCAGACAAAGCAATAACACCTCCATGAAGAAAAGTATTTGACAGCCCCATCCACAAGAAAGTTACTCAATGCACCTTTTTAATTATAGGCTACAGTCCCTGACAAAAGTCTTGTCGCTTATCCATTTTGTAGAAACAAAAGCTTATAACCTCATATGAAAGCTAAAACCCTCCCAAATTATGCTCAATATACTACTGAAGAAGGATTGATCATTTAATGAACACAGAAAGGTCAGATTTTGGCAAGACAAAAGTTTTGTCGCCTACAGAAAATTGAACAAATAAATTACTTTAAATACAAAAATATGTTGCATAACATCAGTGAATTAAGTAGTGGTGCTGTGAGATCCACATTTAATATCTTGTATGACTTCCATGAGCTTGAAGGACTGCATCCATGCGGTTCGACAATGATTCATACAATTTGTTGATGAAGTCATCAGGAATAGCAAAGAAAGCGTCTTACATGCCTCCCAGAGTTCATCAAGATTCTTTGGTTTTGCCTTCCATGCTTCCTCTTTCATTCTACCCCAGACATGCTCAATGATGTTCATGTCTGGTGACTGGGCTGGCCAGTCCTGGAGCACCTTGATCTTCTTTGCCTTGAGAAACTTTGATGTAGAGATAGAAGTATGCGATGGAGCACCATCCTGCTGCAAAATTTGACCCCTTTTATGGTTGGGAATGTAAGCAGTAGCTAATACTTCTTGATATTTTAGGTTATTCATATTGCCTTCCACCCTGCAAATGTCTCGCACAGCCCCAGACTGGATGGAACCCCAGACCATGATTTTTCCACCACCAAACTTAAGTGTTTTCTGGGTGAATCTTGGATCCATGTAGGCTCCAGTAGGTCTCCTGCAATATTTGGCTGTGATGTAATTCAACCGAGGATTCAGCTGAGAAATCCACCTTCTGCCACTTTTTCAGTGTCCATCCTTTTAGCAGGCTGTGGGCCTTGGCAAATGCCACACGGTTTTTTAATTGCCTTTTGTTTAGTGCTGGTTTCTGTGCACTGATTTGACCATGGAGGCCATTTCCAGACAGAATTCTACAAACTGTTGTGGTTGACACAGGGACTTGAGGTGACCAGGCCTGGTGGAGCTCTGCTGCAGTGGAAAAGGGGCCTTGGATTTTCGAATCAACAAACAGTCCTCCCGAGCAGTTGTCTTGCGGGGTCTGCCGGACCTGGGCTTGTCGAAAACATCTCCAGTCATTTCAGAGCTTTTTCTTATTCTTTGTACTTGATGCTGAGACACATTGAAGGTGTCAGCCACCTCAGCAGTGGATCTGGTCTTCAGCCTCTTGATAATTAACGCTTTGGTCTCAGGGTGGATCTTAGGCATGTTGTCAGAGGTCATTTTGTAGTTGATGTGAAGGTCTGGTGTGCTGGGGTTCTTTTTATACACACCCACTAATTGACTGATCAGTAACTGATCACAGGTGAGGCTGTAATCTAGGATTGGGTGCATCGTATGACAAGGCTTTTGTCTTGCCAAAATCTGACCTTTCTGTGTTCATTAAATGATCAATCTTTCTTCAGTGAAGCAAATTTATTTTAGTATATTGAGCATAATTTGGGAGGGTTTTAGCTTTCATATGAGACATTTCTAAAACCAATCGATTAATTTAAAGTCAGGTTATAAGCTTTTGTTTCTACAAAATGGATAAGCGACAAGACTTTTGTCAGGGACTGTATGTTTATATGATGACAGTCTGAACAGAAGACGCAAAAGTGGCATCACGTATTCAGTTTTTATTCTGCGATTAGGCAAGCATTTTCGGGAGGAAATCTGTGTGCATACAGTGATGCAAAAGTGTGTGGAATTTGATTGGGTATGCATGTCAGGCTGCTAGGTGGTGATGTATGTGATGTGAGCAGATCTGACCAGAGTTTTGAGTCTTGGGCAGTGTAGACGGAAATGCTACAGTGAAACATATTAAACTTTTCCACTCTGGAGGGTGGTTTCAGATTTTTTGCTTTTTTAAGCCCCAAAAATGCCGCCACTGTCTAAATGGCACTTCAGATAAAATATCTTGTCGTTTTTACCCGCAAGTATTCTTGTGTAAACAGGCCCATAGACAGATCACCATTTACCTGTGCAAATCCTCTTAGAACTGTATGGAACAGAAGTAGAGCTGAACATACTGACCACATCTTCAAAGCAATATCTGCACACAAGCAATTTTCAAATGTTATGATCTAAATGTAGTCACTTTAAGCTCCTATATTGCACAAAATTGACTCTTGTGAACTTTAAGCCATGAATGTTAGACTGCTGTTACCTCATTAAAAACATACCTGGGTTTGTTTTGTTTCATTCACATGTTTTCATATTTTTTAAATTATTAGTCTGTCTACATCCCCAAAGTTAAAAATGCTCTGTTTCACCTCGTGATGTCATATGATGGCAGTTTTCAAGTTATCAGCTACCTTTTACATTTAGTTCAGTAAAGATGGGGAATTCCAGGGCTGAAATCATGCAAATGATTCTAGTGAAGGTGTATGGAGTTTAAAAACACTGTGGAGCACTTCCTGTATTCTCACATGACATCAAGTTGGAAAAGTAAGTAAATAAATAAATAAGTAGAATTAGTGTGTTAAAAGTGTGAACAAAACAAAACACAATGCCAGGTATGTTCGTGATTATAACATTATAACGTAGATCATAACATAGTGTCATATGGGTCCTTTAATGTTTTTCTTGGCAGCAAAGCGGCCAAAAGCACATGTTACATCACAGAAAGAAAAGTAGTAAGATATGACTCTAGTGTTAATTAAAAAACCTTGAACATAACACTACAAATAGACTGCAATATAAATGTAAAAAAAATGGATACTACCACATCTTAGTGCAGTGTTTCTGGGTTAAGAAACACCAAGAATGGATAGAAATAGTTTGTATGACAACTAGTGTCAGTAACTAACTCAGCAACTAGTGGTCTTGTGTTTGCTCACCTCACTGTGGAGAATCTCTGGACTGAGCTGCACAGAGCACAAGCTGTGGGCCATTATCAATCAGTAACACCTCCAATAAAGCAGCCCTCACCCGCTGAGTCAAGCCCAGGGACTCTCAGTACAAAACACTTCATGGAACTCTTATTGAGGGTGTAGACATGCGTTCAAGTACCCTGTTATGATAGGGTTTTTTGAGTGTCCATGTATCCTGATTTCAGTATCCTTGTGAGAAACCAGAATGCTCTCATGGGTTTTTCGAAAACGTCACAAAAACAGTAAAAACAGTTTTTATCAAAATCTCTCTCTCTATATATATATATACACAGACACACACACAAAGCAGTCTACTGTTTAATACAGTTACATTTTAATGCCAGGCTGTGTGTTGCTCTTGAATTAAACTGACGCTGTGAGACTGTATTTTGTTGTATTTTTCACTGAAGTTGTGACAGTGCTCCACAGTTTCATGTTCTTACTTGAATGTGTCATAATTTTTGGTTTTTAGAAACTCATTAAAAAGCCTTCAGTTAGCAAAGTTGCTATATGTTTAGCTCCTTGCCATATCTGTACTGTGGTTACCGCACAAAATACCTCCTAGTTTCTCTGAGCGCTTGTAAACGCCATAACCAGGATAAGACTCATAACCTGGATACTGGTGCACATGTAAATGCACTTATTTATCAAGCCACTGTATTTTCTCAAGTCTACCAAAATCATTTATGCCTTGAAATTTTTGTATTTGTTTTGTTGAATCTTTACTATTCGCTCTAGGCTATATTGTTTGTTGCACCACTTAAAACTAAATAATGATTCAAATATAGAGAGTGTGATGGAAATTTGTGTCCATATGTGCATGTTTGCTGTAACAAAAAATAAATTGCTTTTGTATTTCATGACTTAGCAAATGGATTATTATTCGCACAATTTTCCATAATAAGAGCACTAAACTTTATGCTGACTAATAACATTATACTTAAAAATGTCATGTATCTGAGGTCATCTGTACTACATGCCATATCTAGTAAATAATCACCTTGCATATGAGTAACAGTCTACTCCTATATACATATACGTAGGGTGTCTCATGAAAGGTTAACAGTAAATAGTTATCCATAATCTTGTCTTTTTCATTGTTTGCCCTGTGCTGCAGCAACACATAGCATTTTATTCTATAGGTGACGTGTGGTACAGTTATGTTTCTTCATTATGGTTGCATCAATATCACAAACAAACAAACAAAATTACTGTGTGATAATCTGGAGAATCCCCGAAATCTGACTTTCTTAGAGTCATTGGTCAAATCTTTAGTTGCCATTTAAGTTGCATTTACTGTTGTAGTTATGTGGGCGCCACAAAGCGCAAAAAGAAGTAGTCTAGTCAGTTTCAGTGCCTGCTCAGCTGAATCAGAGGTAGTTACGAAATACTTTAAGATAGGATATTTCAAAATTGTAAAAATAGAAGGTCACATGAAGTGAAAGGACAGCCAGTGTGAAGTGATATTTTAAAAGTACAGACTCAAATAATCTGTTTATGCATGTTTCTGATGAACTTGACTTATTTTTTGCATTTCTGACAAACATCATCGCTATTTTTTTTCTGTCCACCTCATCTTAAACTCAGGGTCTATATCCCTAAAACTCATCTACTATGTGAATAGGCTGATTTTAAAGTATTTTTGTTTGAATCTGATTTTACTAATTACAAAACCAATGTAGCTAAGTGGGCTCTCTTAGTAGGATTTAAATTGCAGGTTACACTGCTCATTTCACACTTGTTTTCCTAATTTGTTCATTTTTTTAGGTTTAAAATGTTACTTCCTCCTTTGAAATCATGATATCAGATTAGGGAATTCCATACCTGTTACCAAGCAAACCTCTCTAATGTACACTTATTTATTTTTGTGTATGTAAAAATGCATAAATTAGTAAATTGTGCCTAACTTTTGGATAGAATTCTCCATAGCGTCATCAGTATGTTTTAAAGCTCTCTTCAATTTTCAAATTTTCAACATATTGCAAATTGCTTCTTGTTTGGTGTAAAACTGTAATTTATATTTAAAACAGGGATTATCCCATCAAATTTAGTCAAACTTAGATAATCATAAAAATTCTGTCATACGTACTTATGGCTAAAATATTAATTCAAAAACAGCTGAGATGTCAGTACTAGTTGTGGGCCTTAGAAAACACTGAAAACGCCACACCCCGTTCGTTCTCAAACACAACGTTTGAGAATGGGGACACGCATGTTGGATGGCATGTAACTCGACTGGTTCCCTTTTTTCTTCATAATGACCCATTGATTCAGCGTGACATTGTTGGTCACAAAGTCACCAGTGGCACTTTATCTTTTTGACTTTGTTGTTTCGGTGAATTACAGTTCATTTTGGGAGTACAGCTGTACACACATAAATGATCTTGTAGCCATGGTAACAACACAAATAAAATGCACCATAGTAGTGTTACAAGTAGATGACTAGTTTGTGTCTATAAAGTTGAAGTTCAGCAAATTTTATATCACTGGGCATTATGTTATCATACTGAACTTTAGATTGATGAAAAAAATACCATAGTATTTAACAATTTAAAACTAAATATTATACCTTTTGAATGGCAAAGTCTTCAAAATATAAACATTAAGCACATGAATATATATAGACCAATACCATTAAGCAATTATTTGGTCTCCAAGTCCAGGCTATTTAGGAATGTCTTTTTACCAACACTTTTGAAAACAACTTAAAGTGCCTATGACAGGTTTGATTACTCATCATCGCTAAAACAAAAATAACATCATTAGATATAACATTTTGCTAAAAAAAAAATAAAAATAAAAAATAATAATAAATACAAAATTTTTCCCATTTTGCCAGTTTTTTAGATTTAAAATTTTATTTTCTAGATGGAAAAAACATCACAATATGGAATTCTGCTATCTAGAAACCACACTGTAGAGTTGGCCAAAAGTCATATGACACACACAAGAATTATGGTTTGGAAAATAAACAATATAAGAAAACACCTTTATTTAGTTGAAATCATCTTTAAATTATCAGAAAATGCGTTTGTAGTGAGTAAATTGTGCCACATTTTTGGATAAAATTCTTCCTGGTGTAATGTCATTAATATGGAACTCTATAATAGAATTCTCCACTTTTTCATCATTTTGTTTCATCATTGCTTCTTGATAAAACAGCAAATATTAAAGTATGAGTAACATGAGGTCAGATAAGTTTTTTTTTTTTTTTTTCAAATGTGTGTTTAGTCAGTGTTTCAGTCACTGTGTATCAGTGTTATTGCTCAACCAGTGGGTGATGAGGGAGAGGCATAAGGATACAGTCTCATAAGACACAGCAGTCCTCCTCAGACTGCAGCAGAGGAGGAGAGGACACAGAAGAACACACACAAACTAACTATAGCAAAACAAAAATTCTATTCTGTCAACTGGACAAAAGTTTTAGAGTGAAGACGTTTCACCGCTCATCCAAGTGACTTCTTCAGTTCTGGTCAGATTGAGACACTGCCTTATACAATATACTCAGGTACGGAAGCTCATTCAGTTTTAGTACCATCTAATAATTTATATAATTTATCATAATAAGCATAGTCTCTTTTTTCTGTGTTAAAATGTAAACTTCTCATGCTTCTAAGCTAAATTTTTTGTGCCCAAACTGATGTGAAACAGATGGAAAAAGCAAAAATAATACATTTATTTATGATAATTTCAATTTCAATTCAGTTCACAATTCACAAATTTTGTTAAAAAAGTTGTCTAGCAGGTCTTTGAATTTGATTTAATTTAACCAACCAAAAGTTAGAAATGAGACCCTTCTTTTGCATATAAACATTTTTTATCCACCCCCCTAATAGGTACCACTTCACTTTATAATAACTACACCAGGCGTTTCCTCCAGTGAGTTACTTTACAAAACTAAAATGCCAGAAAGCTACCTATTTTAGCAGTCGCAAAGAAATTGAGTATATATTAGAGCCTCTGCAACCCTTAGACACAGAACAATTAGATGCCTATAAAACATAAACCATTATCCATTAATCAGCGCACAAAGTTAGGCATGAACATTATATATTTATAATGTTTTTTACTTATTATTATTATTATTATATTATTATATTTTACTTATTCAGCCCAATACAGAGAATTCAGAAATCCCTTGGCGAGCTACTCTGAAGGGGGTGGAGAGCTTCTGGTAGCTCCCAAGCTACAGGCTAGAGACTCTTGAACTACACCTTAATTATATTTAATAAAAAAGGGCTTAATTAATAATGAAGAAATTGGTTATTAAGCAAGCAGGCTTAAGGTTAATGTTAAGGTTAAACTCTTGTCGCTGTAACGAAATTTGTCCTCTGCATTTGACCCATTTACTTAAGTAAAGGTTAGGGGTTATGGTATTAATTAAGTAGTTACTATGCCTGAATAATAAAAATAATTAATAAAAAAAGTCTTTGTTCATGCTTTGTTAAGGATAATTAAAGGTGCGATATGTAACTTTTTGGTTGGGGGTCTGTCACCTGTTTGTTTCTATGGGTATGTCATTGCTCTGCCTAGAATGTTCCACAGTATGACATTAAATAGCTCTATTTTACATTTATTAAATTACAGGTGCTTCTGTAACTAAAAAAAAAAAAACAGAGCAGGCTGACGGTAAGTGGTGTTGCCTCTCCACAGAGCTGAGCTGTAACCTGGACTGGTTTGGTCTCCATGAAGATGAGAAGTTTTAATACCATACTGGGAAAACATTCCAGACCAATCAATAACATCTCCATAGAGAAAAGCATTTGAAAAGTTACACAAAGTACCTTTAAAGTGTATTTGCTATGAAGTGTCATCCCTATGTGTTTATTGTGATTGAAGTTGCTTGTATTTATCTTACCTCTCTTTCACTGGTTCCAGTCCTCCTGATTGCTGGGCATCTTCTCCACAATGGTCACCAGCAGGTCCATAGTGTTTGTGGTCTCAGTGTTGATCTTATGGGATGGTGCTCACAGCTTCATGCCCCTCTTCTCTCTGAGGGGAAACTCCTCCACTCACCGGGACATCACCAGACAGGCTGTCCTGAGGAAGACCGCAGAAGTGTGCAGAGATATCGCAGCCTCTGAGAGCCGACCTTTCAGCCTTACAGTAAAAACAGTTTTCTAATTTTCAGTGAATTTTTTAATCCCCTGTTGGAAAATAATTTATATATTTTTTACCATTATTTTTTTCATTCTGTTTTGTTGTTTTGCCTTTTCATTGACTCAAAAAACACTATTCAATTATCAAATGATACAGATATCAAACAATACTAAAACCAGAATGCTAAAAAAAACTAGATGCTCATTTGTACAAGTATTGATCCTGAAGAAAATTACATGATTAGGACAAAAATAGACAACAGTTGAAGAGTTTTGATTGATCTTGATCAATATCAGTGTTGGAATACTTAGAAAGTATATGTAGTTACAGAATACAGAATACTGAATACCTGAATTAAAATGGATTTTGGAATGTATTCTGTTACATGGGGCAATTGCAGTACTGCATTCTGAATACTTAGAATACTTTTTCACCAAGTTGCATTATAGTTTAGTAAAATATACTACATAGTATTACAAATTGCTTTATCTCTGTTGCCATCTATATCATGCATTCATTTATGTCTAATTTGAGAAGGAAAACATGTGCACACACCCTCTCTAATCTAATCTCTAATAATTTGTAGTATAAATCTGAAATTACATGATAATGTACCGCCGTGTGTTCCTTTTAATTTAGGAAAGTAACTGTATTCTGAATACCACCAAATTAAATACTGAAATACAGGTACTGAAAATTTGTATTCAGAATAGGCTACTAATTTTTGTACATGTATTCAGTTATTTCCCTACATTGATCAATACTGGAACTACTGTAAGATCACAATACACGTATTATGTTATGTTGATGATTCCAGGCAAGTAATTTTGCTTCTAATTAAGTCTTCTCAATCTGTATAGTTTCATTAACCATTAACTCACATAATATATTTATTTAGGGTAACGTTTTATGCTTTTGAGTTTATGTGACAAGTTCTACAATTATTTGCAACACCCTTTTGTTCCCAGATTGACAATGCATTGACAGTGGAAAAAGTCCAGTCGGCGTGTTCAGGAAACTCCACTTCAGTCCTGTCCACTGTTATGTACCACACATCCATCGCCTCCATGTACTTCAGTAACGCGCTGGTCGACCTGGTGTACGCACTCAGCGAGGAGCACCACTTTGATGATGAGACATTCAAGGGGGGCAGAGAGGTCCTCACTTCAGGTTTATACATATTTAAAGCAGCACTCGTATAAAAATAAACATCGCTCTACTGTTTAAGAATCACTTACTCATGTTTTTACGTCCATAGATGTGGCTGCAGTGAAATCCAGTGTGAAGCAGGAGAACTTTATGGCTGGACGGTTTCTTTTGGGACGAGCATGTCACACCCTTCAAGTACAAACACACAAATATTCACATTACACATCTTTTTTTGTTTGTTTATTGTTTTGTTTTGTGATTAAAAATATTTGATTTGTTGTCTACACAATAGAATCAATTGTTTTAGTATTGATACTTTACAGCTAATGTTATTAATATCCCCTGGGGGTGTGATGTAGCCAACATACATGAACATTCACAACTTCACTCTTTTCTGTAGTGTAGGCTTGGCTTTGTTTGAAGCATAATTAGACTTTAATCTGAGCTTTATTTTAACACAATCTGATGAACAATCTATTAAACAAGTCTCTCATAACATTACAATCAAAAGCTAGCATCAGCCAACAATTTTTCAATTACTCACACTCATCACTTTTGTTGAAAATCAGAGACCATGAATGCTCGTATTGATCACAGGCTGCTAAAAATGTGCTGTTCTAATTCAAATTTGTAAGTTTTTCTTAAGTTTTCATGCCATCTTAAAATGTTTTGGACAGCTAATAATGTGTGCATTGTGTCACCATGGTAACTCCTACACATTCCACCATTAGAGATACATGTAGAACACCCCCAGTATGCTGTCACTGTGAAGTATCAATACAATATATACAGTAGATTCATAATTTAGCCCTTGTCTCTCTGTTTGTGAAGGACTTCTACAGTCACAGTAACTGGGTGGAGCTGGGAAAGACCTCTCCATACAGCGCTCTCATCACTCCCGACCAGAGCCTGGAGAACCTGGCAGGTGCGGTCCTTCTGTTTGTGTTTGATGAAAATATGCCACTGTGTATGACTGACCACATTGTTTCCATACTTTTCACGCCCCAGTGGCAATGCTCTGAAAAGACAAACACTCTGTGGTGAAAGCACCAACATGGGGAGGGGAGGTGTGATTCTTGTAATTCTTACCTGTGTAAAAATGTAGATGAGTGAAAGGGCAAACAGATCGCCAGTGCTTTCATCTTTCATCTATCTGTCTACTAGGGATGTAACAATAACTGATATATCGTGATATCGTATCGTCAAAGTTCTCACAATAATATCGTGGACCATCACAATATATCGAATTGCAAGTGTCTTTGCTTAAGTTAAGAGTTATGGTGCAGCAATAGCTACAAAAAGACAGAGGGAACTACATAGACCATGATCCTTTGCTCCATTTCAGTGCAGACTACAAGGAGAAATAACACTTTAAGCACTTTTAAGTCTTAGTTCTTTGGATTAAGTCTTGTCAAGGCATTTTTAGAGGAAAAAGTAGCATATTAACAGTTTTGTTAGCCTCCACAAAGTATTGCAATAAATATAATCGTAAACGAGAGATTTGGATATTGTCACATCCCTAATCGTGAGCCTCCCCACCATATCGTGGGCTTTCCCGCGATATCGCAATAAATATCGTACCATACACACACGCACACACACGGTATAGTATATTGATATTTGCAGCGATATCATTCTGGGGGTCTTCTACATGTAACTCTAATGGTGGAAATGTTTAGGACTTATCATAGTGAAAACAATGCACACATTAGCAAACATTGTCAAAAAGGTATAAGATTGTCTGAAAACTGAAACTATGAATATACCATGAATTTAAAAGACAAATTTTCAAGAGTCTGGGATCAATACAAGTGTTGGTCCTGTTTCGAGACAAAAAAAGAAAAAGGTGAGACTGACTGTAAAGCTGTTGGCTAATGCTAGCTAGCTTGTGGCAGTAATGTTGCGTGACAGATTTGTTTAACAGCACAAATCAGCTCACGTGTTGTAGTTCTAGCTAAGTCGTTTTTTTATGGTCATGTTGTGTTAAAATAAAGCTCAGATTAAAGTCTAAAAAAGCCTCAGATAGAACAGGCTCTATAGTTAGCATCACACAAACAGGGAATGTTTGATTTCTTCGGCTGGAAAGTAATAGGTGGTTTTCAGGTTACTGATTACATTGTACTTTACCATGAAATATCCAAAAGTTAAATGCACAAATGTTGAATCTGTCTACTACTACTGACTCAAGAACATGCAATATTACAATAATATTCTAACAGTAATAATTTCAGCTGTCCCTGTATTAAATAATATTGGCCAATAGAATACTGCAATGTCATCTGAAATTCACCAATACATGCTTTCTTCTTATTTTCCTTTACTATAGGACCAAATGTGAGCACATGTCGAAACTGTACTAATGGGGATTGTACCAACAACCTCTTGCCTGATTTGCTGCAACAGGGCCTGCTCACTTCTGGATACTTCAACATCTTCTCCTCAGAAAAACCTGCTGGTACTTTCACTTTTGTTTAATTGTCTCGCCAGCGTTTTTGTTCAGTGGCCTTATTTTTTATTTCTTTTGTGTTGGGTTGAAGGTAAATGTAGTCACGGAGGGTCCTTTGATAAAACCAGTAAACGGGCACCCATAGGAGGCATCAGTAAGGACACAGTGCACTCCAGTCACGGTAGCCTCCATCACCAAGCTGCAGATCTGGCTGTGAATGCCACCGTAGAGCTGCTGGAGGACATCAGACTGGCTGTGGGAGACAAGAACTTTCTCAGGTTCAAGTCTACTTTTAGTCATGTTGTAATGTTGTTACCTCCTCAGAAACAGACCTGGAGTTGTGTTTTGTTTCATTCACACATGTTTGAGTAACCCTGCATTATTAGACTGTCTACATCTCCAAAGCTCAAAATGCTCTGCTCCATCTTGTGATGTCATCAAGTGGTAATTTTAAAGTTAACAGCTTTTTTTTTTTTTTTTTGCCTCATTTGAATTAATTTACTTGACAAGACTCTAGAACAGCCTTAAGTTGTTGCCTTTTTGAAAAGATTTTTTTTTCTTTCTTTGAGATTGCTACAAAAAGTCTATAACATCTTTATTTTTCAGTGAGGCTAAAACAACAGATGTACCTTCAAAGTTTGGCTGCAAATTATTCAAATGATTCTACTGAAGGTGTGGAGTTTAAAAACACAAGGGAGTGCACTCAGTAAGATCAGAAGGTAGAACAGAGTGTTTTCAGTTTGAGAGAAGAAGACAGCTTTTGAGTTTGTGTGTTAAACATGTGTTAATGAAACAAAGGCAACTCCAGATATGTTTTTGATGAGGATACAGCATTGTAATATAGATAAAAAAATGTGTGTAATATAGGTTCTTTAAGGAGTTATCGTTTGACATAACTCCTAGAGCGTTCGTCCACTAATCTGAAGGTTGGCGCTTCAAATTCTGCTCTTGACATAAATATCAGCTGGTGTGATTTCAGCTCCCACAGATGAATGCGGTCATTGTGTCCTTGGGCAAGACACTTAGTGTCGGTGGTGTATGAGTGTGTGTGGATGGGTGAGTGGTTCCTTATTGTAAAGCGCTTTGAGTGGAAATGCGCTATAGAAAAACGTGACCATTTATCATCATTTGGAGGTAGAGTATTTATTATGTCGCTACTAAGCTTGATTTTGTTATCGTTTAATGTTTCACAGAAAGCAATGGTATGGATTAAAAATTATACTTCACCTCTTTTAGATTCAATCTAACTTATTGAGATATGTTGATAATGTATCTTGTTTTATAAATATTCTTGCATTTATTCTAATTTAGTGAGTCACCATTTTTGTAATAATGTTTTAAATGTTTGGATGTTGTCATGGCAGACTGATGGGCCTCTCCCAGTCCTCCGTTCTGTGCTTCGTTATTGACACCACCGGCAGCATGTCTGACGATATTGCAGAGGCAAAACGTGTCTCTTTTGAAATCATTGACAGCAAAAGAGGATCACAGCAGGAGCCCTCTGCTTACATACTGGTGCCGTTCAATGACCCAGGTATGATGTGACTTCATTGCACATTTCCCATTCAAATCAGTGGGTTCATTTATTTGTATGATGTATGATGCCCACAGAGTTTGGACCTCTGGTAATGACCACAGATGCGGAGAAATTCAAAGCGGAAATCAATAAGCTGTCAGCGAGTGGAGGTGGGGATATCCCTGAGATGTGCTTGTCTGGTTTACAGGTGTGTTTCTACAACTATATTTAGGAGATTAAACATTATTTAACATTATATTACATTACATTAGAGCCCATATTACGCTATTTTCTGGTCTGTTATAATGTTGTTTCCTTATCACAAACATACCTGGAGCTGTATTTTGTTTCATCTACACATACATACACATATTTATATATATATTCACATATTATTTAATTAGGCTGGGTTGTGTGAATGAAACAAAACACAAGGTATGCTTTTGGTGAGATAACAGCATTATAATACGACTTAAAACTTACAGTTCAATGTTACATCATATAGAGAATTTAAACATTATTGTACTGTGATTTAATACAGTCAGTTCAAGTACATTAGATTATTGCAGATACTTTAAATACTTCATCTGTAGTATTTCTACTGACAGCTTGCCATGACCGCTGCACCTCCCTCCTCTGAGATCTTTGTCTTCACGGATGCTCCTGCTAAAGACGCTCATCTGAAAAATACCATCTACGCTTTGATCGAGAGCACCAAGTCTGTGGTAAGAACCTATATAAAAATCCTATTAATTAATGTATTTGTCTGTTTTTCTCACATAGAAAAGTATGGCTGCATCATGGGTGGATAATAGTAAATTAGATTATACCACAATATTCAAATTTTGCATCTCTTCAAATACTCAATTTTGATATTATTCAGACATTTCAAATTAATCTACCTCTAATGTCACAATGTAAAATGATCGTTTTAAGAAGAAACTGTTTTATGGTTGTCACAATTATTGTAAAGAAATGGTGATTCATTTTCATTCACACTTTGTAATAGACTTCCAAACTTTTTTTCTTTTTTGCATCACACTGATAAAAGGTGAGTTCATTTAGGATTACTGTTAGGTTTATCTAGACATTTAAAAACAAGAAGAAAGACAAGAGATTAATTCAGTTTTACTCATGAGGAGAACGGGCAGAGAGTGGGCATCAGGCCAACAGTCTCCACACGTTCTGATGACTCAAGGCCGCTCTCCTCTTTTTATTTCATTAGGAGGGAGGCCCTAGTTATAGAATGATAATTCTCAAGGGGAAGGGGAAACCAGCAAAGACATAATAAGAAACTGATGCAGCTAAGCATAGTACAAACACATAAAACATGATTAACAATCAGGAGGTGCCGTAGGTATGGACAGACACCATCATAACTCTTGCATGTGTGACAGTGGGAGTTGGCTTCATGTGAGGAATCATCTCGAGGTTCACAAGAGCGATAGGTCACTGCACACAGTTGTCAAACACAAACAGATTATTCATTTTCATACAAGTGATTGGTACATTATAAATCAAAGAATTGTAGTACATAAATGGTTAACTCATAGGCCTAGAATATCACACAAGTATTTAGCAAATATGGGATAATAGAATTATTCTGACAATTACTATTTTTAGAGATTGGATACAGATGATGTTGCTTCTAAAAACTGTACAGTGGCTCTGGTCAGATCTACTGACCCACAGGTTGGCAGAGTGAGTCTAGCTCTGATAGATAAAAGCTGCCGCTGTGTCCTTGGGCAAGACACTTAACCCGTCTTGCCCCCAGAGTGCATACACTTGTGTAGTGCAAACACTTATGTTTGTGTGTGTGAATGGGTGAGCGGGTCCTTAATGTAAAGCACTTTGAGTGCCTTAAAGGTGTGAAAGCGCTATATAAAAATGTGACCACTGACCATGACCTTTTGGGACCTTTGGGGGTTTGTCTTTTTTGCATTTGTCTCCAGGTGACGTTCATGTTGACAGATGTGTTGGCATCACGGCGGCGCAGAAGAGTACAGAGCGCCCCGGTCCGGGCCTTGAGCCAGGCAGACGCTCAGCTGTACCGCGACCTGGCCAAAGCCTCTGGGGGGCAGGCCATCGAGGTCACCAAGTCCGGCCTGTCCGCTGCTACCACTGTAATAGAGGACTCATCAGCCAGTGCTGTGGTGAGCTGTCGCACTGTGCCTTGAAGATGGAAAAATATTCCAACATTCACAGTGAAGTCAGCAAATAATCTCTGCTGACTGACCATCTCTTATAAAGATGTTTACATGCATTATTCTTAATTTTCCAATGCCATTTCACTCATTCATTATACTAAACTGTTGTTTGTTTAACATTTGGCAACATTAGTTATATAATTATATATAATTATAATTATATGCAGTTATACTGCATATATTAAAATTATGTAATATACAAGTTATTTTAAAGTTATACATGGGAATATTTGTTTGTTTTTTTCCCAGGTTAATGTGTTTCAAGTGGTGAGTAATCCAGGAAAGCCTGAGAAATTTAATTTCACTGTGGATGGTTCAATAAAAAACATGACCCTCTATATCACTGGCGCCTCATCACTCACCTTCAACATCTCCAGTCCTTCAGGTAAACCCGGTTTGTTCATGCTGTTGGAAAATGTCAAATAAATCATTTCTTTTTCTGATGCAGGTGCCTCCCAGAGCTCCAGTGTGTCCAATGGACCTTTGGCTTCAATGACCACAGCAGGAAACCTCCGGCGCTTAAGTCTCAACACTGACAACCAAACGGGATTGTGGAAAATTGATGTCAACTCCAATGACCCATACTCTGTTAAGGTCATAGGTCAGTAGTGCAGTATAACATGATTGATGATAAAATGCATAGGGGAAAGCTGGCTCTCACAATTCATTACTAAATGTTTTATCTTTATTAAAAATAATAATTTAAAGTAAATTAAATTAAAATAAATAAATTGCCAAAGATTAACATAAAAAAACTGTTCTGGCCCAGCTCTTCTAGGGGCAGGAAGTTAAACAAAAACCATGATGGAAAATGGTAAAAAAAGAAAGAAAAAAAGTTGTAATTAAATTAACTTGCATGTAAGAGATAAGTGTAACATAATGAATTAACACACACACACACGAGGACAATTGGCGGCCAGGGGCCGTAACAATCTCCCCCTTTAATTACAAACAATGTTTTGTAATAAATTGATAGTTTAATACTTGCGGGGTGTTGCAGTTGACTGCCAGGGTGAGTGATTACATGGGCCTATGAATCAAACAGCAGAATCCCTTGAGATGGGCCCTGGAGAGTGACTGGAGGCTGAGAGAGGCTCAGAATAAACAGGTGATCAAACCAGTCATCAACCACACAAAATGAACACTAGGAGTCAAACACAGCAATGAAATGAGTGTTACAGAAGGCACCACAGAGAAGCCACTGTGTTCCACCAGTGGTGGAAACACCAAACACCACCAATGTATAATTTAGAATGAATAAAACAGGCCAAGTAAAGAATTTAGGAATAAGACAGAATCAGCTTCCCCAATACAAACCTATTACAATGTAATAATCACTTTAAGAGTGTGATAGGGTGTTCCTGGCAGGCTCAGGGTTTGGACAAAATGGAGTCCACGCATGTTTAAAAAGGGGTTTTAAAAATAGATATTTGCAAAAAGTGGTTGTTGACATTATATTTTAGTTTAACTCCAACCAATGCACTTATGCTTTTTTGTAGGTCAGAGTTCAGTAAACTTCATCTATAACTTGGTTGAACCCCATGAGGGAGCCCATGGAGACTACAGTCTGAAGGAGGGACGCCCTGTCACTGGTATAAAGCGAAGATCCTATATTCTGCTTCTTTTCAGCTGTCTTTATATTACATATTGTGCCATGCCAGTGTTGGGCCACACTGACAAACATATATCTGTTTTTTTGCATACTTTTACCATGTTACAGTGTATATTTTTTCTTGTTTTTTTCTTCACAGGCGGTAATGCTACAGTGTTGGTGACAGTTACCAGTGATGCTGTGAAAATCACAGAGGTCACACTGTATGACAGTTCTGGGCCGACTGAAGTCAATGGGACACTGAAGGCATGTCCATGTCCAGCATGTGATAATATTCAATCACAGTGTATCTCATCTGATGATAATTTGTCTGATTATTTGATTAAACTCACAGCCACAGAGCGATGGGAACATTCTTGTGTTCTTTGATAACATCCCATCTGGAGACTTTGTGCTTCGTATAAAAGGAGAAGACAGCACCACCACCAGGAATACACCGACCAGCTTTCAGCGACAAGCATCCACTCAGATAAAGTCTTCTAGTATCTCTGTCACAGTAAGCTTCCATATTTATCTGGACATGAAAATAATGAGAAATATTCATATAATCATTAAGATTTCAATTCCAAAGTTTGATTGTGCATCTAAACCATAATTATCAAATGAAATATGTAAAAAAATGTACTGTTGTGTATGAAACTAGAAACACAAGAGGACAGACCCAGACAAGAAACTGCAGTTTGAACAGCCCCGTAGAATGGCATACCATGGCAATAAAACTATGGCAATAAAACCAGAAGTTCTACATTAGGGTTTATAACTCAGCCCCGCCTACAAGAAATAGCTCGTGCTGAACCTGCTTTTCTCTCATCCAATACTTCTACTGTGTTATGTCTAGGCCCAAGTGTCCAGCATGTCCATTGAACCAGGTTCCTCCCTCTCCATCCCCTTCACTGTGGCCTCTTTGTCCAATGGGGCGGTCAATCAAAATGCATCTGGAGAGTTCACAGTAAATGCCCAGAATGACCGAAGCTACTCCTCCAGCTCACCATCCTCCGTCACCATGAGCGAGGGCAGGGCCAATGGTACTGTGACCATCACTGTCCCATCCAGTGCTCCATCGGGGTCAGATGTGACCCTCACCATCACCGCTCAGGACTCCACTGCCTCCGACATCAACTACACTGTGCTCCGCTTTTCTGTGGCTGCAAAGGTGAGAAGATCTGCCCATTTTAGAGGGGTTTAAGTCTGCAAGCAACTCGTGGTCATTCTATGTCGTACAAAAACCTTATTTTTCTCTACCACTCTTAAATCTTAACTCTAGTATGTAGGTGAACTTGTTATATTTTTGTAAATATTTGTATTTTGCCATCCAGTTGTTTGCAATCCATTTAACCCTATTGTGACTGCTCACTTAAAATCTGTAGTACTTCATTATTCATATACTGTGGGGGTGAATAAATAGTAATTCATTGTTCTAATATGAGTAGAATGGCCCACTTAATGGCACTGTTACAAGTAATAGGCTACAATTAGATTATAAAAATCTATTGAACTAATAAAAAGCTTGATCAATGAAAATGTGAACTGGCTATTTATTATTATATTATTATTTCATATTTAAAACATAGGTCTCATAATTATTCATTGTTTGTTTATAAAATTACACTATAGATCATTATTTTTACTTTTACTTACAAATACTGTACATGACTTTGACTTGTGCAGGTGACAGACGTGACCCGGCCGGTGTGTGAGGTGGTCAGTACAACAGGAGACTGTTCCTCCTCCGTGTGCTCCTCTTCTCAATGGGGGCTCACCGCCAACATCAGCGATGGTGTTAATGGAACAGGCATAGATAGTGTGACGGTGCGCCAGGGCAGTGGGACCCTGAACACCACCTCCTCATCATCAGGTGGTGTGAACATCACTGTGGCCACGTACAGTGCCTCCTGCTGTTCACAGAGCGTAGAGCTGAGGATTCTGGATAAAGTCGGGAACGTGCAACTGTGTGCCGGACAGGCCAAAGCAGCGACAACAGCGGCTCCAACAAACACCACAACAAACTCTACAGCCATTGGTCTGCACTCAGTGAGTGTCAGGCATCCTCTGTGGGCCAGTCTGCTGCTCCCTCTAGTTTGGTGGTATTAAAAGAATTCACATTAAGATTAGCTCCCATGTTCTTACAGCTTGAAGATTTTTTAATAGAAGATTTATAGATCCATCAAGCAGGCAAAGTGCTCTTAAGATATTTTACTAATAGGAGACCCATCTGTGAATATAACCCATGGTACAGTGTTGTGCCATCTTTGCTTTTACTCCTGTTTTAAGTTGTCTTTTCTTTAGGCAAGTACTTAATTCCACATTTTTCTTGCATGGGGGTGAATAGTCTGTCTCAGTTTCCTGTAAGCACAGTGGTGTCTCAAAAATGTAACATGTGTTTATATTTTTTATTTTCATGGGATTACATTGAGATGAATAACTATTTAGCAGTTTATTTGATTGCTTTGTGAATTTTTACCAGAACCATACCAGTCTAATAAACCTGAAGTCAATCTCTATAATCAAAAAGGTTTTAATGTGTACAAAGACTTAAATTTATACACTTAACGATCAATGAGTTTACAAAACGACAAATGATGGAATACCTAATAAATTTTTATTTATCCATTTCCAAAAACATAAGAACCATAAACAACAGAAGGGCAGTAAAAATATAACCAATAATCTGTGGAAGAACTCAGAACAACTTCCAGCAGCCAACAAGAATGGCACTTCAGAGAACCAAGCAGACTTTTACACAACAAGATCCAGCAAAGCAACAGCTGTGGGAAGATAAGGGGCACTGTCAAATCAAATCTTGGTCCTTTCATTGGAAAAAAAATAAGATCAAATGATCAATTTAACAAGACAAGCAATTACATAATCAAAACTACAAAATAGGAATTTAAAAACCTGATTGTTTCTAATTAACCAGTAAACACTGAAAACTGTCACTTCACTGTAAAGAAAACTTTCAGAAACACAATTAATACTAAGGATTTTGCCCTGCAATGTCACCAGCGTCAAAGTGCATCACTACGATGAGAAGAGGTTTGAGTCGAGCCAAACTTCATAGATACAGACACTTCATTCTACACCAAGAATCAAATATTCTCCAAATAAGTTCCTTCTTTTCTTGCACACATTCATGTCACAGCTATGCAACAAGTTTCATAGTAAGAAACCTACTAAAGTTATCATTAACAATATATACAATACCCCATGTGTTACTCTTTTAAACAGAGCAGAGCTTCAATCTTACACAACTGGATAATTTGCATGAACGTTAATGGCCCATGTGTGAGTGATTCTGTGTTCCTGACAACAGAAATTGTCTGTACTTCAGTCAAGCTTTAAGGTAATATAGCAGCCTATATATGTAACATTATAACCACCTATACTGCAAATACAGAATGAGGTCATGCAAGGTAATCTACCACTTGTCTGTAAGATTTGGGATACATTTTACACTTGTATGTTTAATGCAGTCCCTGAACTTGGATATTTGTAGACGTAAATATACCAATACTAATAATACAGCATTTTGCCAATTGTGAGAGAGTTAGAGAGCCTTAGCTTTCCTGATGAAATACTCCATGAGCTGCTTGGAAAATACAGGTGCAGTCATGGAAATGTGATCAGTGTCACCTGTCAGTGGTTATAATGTTTTGCCTGAGTGGTGTATAGGGGCCATTAATCAATAATACATATTTTAAGGTAATGAAAAAAGCTACAGTTACAGATAAAAAGCTACCGTTTTGTTAAGCGAAAGCATGTGAGAAACTGTACAAAATGTGGAGAGTATTTTTTATGGCGAGACTCCTTAAAACTCTATGAGCTGACACAGGACGCTGGTCCAACAGAACTGTAAGTAACACATTCCTTCATTGTCAAATAAGGTGTCTGGAAACAAGTGGAAAAAGTGCAAAATGCATTTGTTAACTTAAAAACGGGAGGAACTCATGTTTACACTAACTGAAATAATAAAGGTTAGCCCTGTTGTTTGACAGCCTGATGATAATATTTGATATGATTGATTTGAGGAATATTTTGGTAATAATCAATGAAATGGTGAACTAAATGCATTGGAATTTCCAGTTTCTTCACTAAAACTGATTTGGTTTTCCTATGTGGATGTTATAATACAGTTGCATGCAGAGGCACTGAGTTGAGTTTGTAGGCCTAAGGTTACAGTATATTCTCTGGGCATGCTTACAGTTCAGTTCACTTTCCTATCAGGCTATAGACAAAATTTATAAAGAACCTTCAAAGTTGGCATTCACTTGTTCATACTGTTGCACTAAATACTGTACCAGTCCATCCATTTTACAATATATACACAACTAACATGGAATATACATTTGATAAGGATTCCATGCAACACTATTGTTAAAAGATTGTTTTCCCAATATTACATATATGGTTACTGTAAATAAACATACTGTTTAAGTCAGTTTGTGGCCACTGAAGAATTGTCAAAGTGAACGTCAGAATATCTGCCTCTGAAATTCAAGTACCCATCCTTAACTTTGCTAAAGACAAAGCACCCCAGAATGCCCGTGCACCTGTTTGTGATCATTTAGGCAATTCTTAAATTTTGTACAATGACATCAAATAATACTTGCCCAGTATTCAGTTCAGGAAACACTGTATAAAACATCAGTCTTCACTAATAGGTTGTGTTCTAGAGCCTATGGTTTAACAAAACTGAGCTGGAGGCAGGTCAGAGTTTTATGATGGAATTTGCTGTTAAAATGTTTGACAGCAGATTTGCTGACTTTGTTCATGGATGGTATCTCTAATCACAGAGCCTATCCACATGAAACAAATAAACCAAAAGCATAAAGTTCATCTTTTGTCAGCATAAATGCACATCAATAAAAGAGAAATAATATTTACATAATAGCTTTAGAAAGTGGTGCCATTGTTCAGCAACAAACAAGTTATTATTGTCAGTTGAAAGGACTAAGTTGTAAGGTTAATATGGCAAATAGTGATTCAAGTGTCAACATTGTAGATCCTAAATTTGGATATTTCTTGCAAAATCAATGAATCTTACATAGAGTTATAAAGTCCCTCTAAAATTATGACAATATAAAATTAAAGTTCATGAACACAACCTATTGAACGGCCATGCTATAACCAAACCTGAAGCTTAACATCACAAGTGTGTTAATGCTGATAAAACTAATATTTCAACTTTTCTGATGTAGAAGCATTAAAAGTTAATTTGACTAGTGCTTTCACTGAACTGAATTAACTGTCGAGGTATAAAATGCAAAAGATACACCTGTATCCGTGCCTTTTCAAACATAAGACAGATAGTTGGGGATACCTGAGGATTTCTTAAGGATTGTAATAATATTGCATCCTTTTATGTCACTGATTCAGATCCAAAATCGCAATCTGAACAGTCGCCCTGTTTAAATGGCAAAAATAGCAGGTTACTTGGCTGTATTTTCCAATAATTGATCTAACACTACTGTACTTTACTACCATCCTATTCTATTCAGTATCACCAATTTCAACACAGTCTTCATATAATAACTACTGACTGAAAAGGGACCATGCTTAACAGTCATAGTTTTGGGCACATTGTCAGCAAATGTGTTAATAATAAGAGTACCACTGTCTCTGTGGCAATAAGGCAACTACTTCATAGTTTAAAAGCTATTAATATGTATTAATAGCTCAGAAGGGGATGTAACAATAAAAATGGTAAGCTGGACTCAAACATACACTGGAAGGCAGCCACACCACGGTGGCTAGATTAACAGATTTCAATGGATTCAATGACACAGATGAAAACGTTTGAAGTGGTTCTGGACTGATACAAATCAAAGTAAAGGTGTTTGGGCACTGGTGTGGGAAAGTTGGTCTCATGGAGCTACAGAAGAGTAATTAATGATAAAGAGACTTCAGTCTTTTATTCTGCGATTTCAGCCAGCTCACTGCTGGAGGACGGAGGTGTGGAGGACTGGACGTGGTTTGACATTGAGTTGGGGTCCGGAGCAGAGCCCTGAAGGACACCAGACGGGACAGGGTCAGGCAGGGTCAGGGTTTCTGGAGCAGATTTCTTGCGTGGCCGATCCTTGGGCACAGAGAGGGACTCAGGGGCGTCCGTGCACATGGGGGTTGAAGGGGCGCTGGCCGGGCCGGTCAGAGCGCAGGACGACAGAGGAGTCTCACTGATGGAGATGGATGGTGGAAACATCCCAATTTTCTGGTTTGTGGCTTCCTGGATGGTGCGCTCAAACTCTCGGACCTCATCCATTGTCATGTCTATGGTGAAAATACAAAAACCTTATTACCATTTAAGGATTTTACAAATTTACAAAAAAATTACTCACACTAAACATTGCGTTATTTACACATGTTCTTTACACAAGAAAGTATCACCATGAGAGAATTCACACATGCAGTACTTTCATTTGCTTCCTTCTAGTGTCACTGTAACCATTTAGTGTTTGAATGATTCTATGAAATGAAATGCACCTAAACACTATCTCCATCTTCACTCTAGCAAGGTAAGGTATACTTTTTTGAAGCAATTAACATTTTCATTGTTGAGAAGTAACACTTGATTAAATCATCCTAATCACCGGAATTAAAACACCTATTCACCATTTCAACATGGACATATTTTCTCCAAAACAGCCTGAAGATTGAAATGAGAAGAGAGGCAAGGTAATGGCAAAAAGACAAAATGAAATGACATACGCTTGCTTTGTCATGGATCTCTATTTCATCCAGTGAAGATGAGTTTGTTGTGGAATGCTCTTGCTGTTCAAGGCAAACTTTAATGTTGGTTTTCTCGTGCATTTGTCTCTCGTAATCCCGCACGTCATCCAAAGTCATATCTGGAAGAACGGGCAGGTGTGGAATGGGGGTTGAAATTTTGAAATTCCTTTAATTTATTTATTTAGGAAAAGGAAGGGTCACAACCAGGGTTAGTCCATGCTTTAAAATGGAAGGTCGGATCTATTAAAAGTTTAAATCCATTGAGAGAATGACAGGCCCAAGTCACAGAAGTGAGATCAACAAAAAGTTAAAAAAGACACCCCCAAGAATCAGAAGGTTGCACTGTGAATGTGCCCACTGTGCCCACAGAAGTCTCAATCTAGGGTTAGAGCAATGCAGTTCATTGCCAGTTGGCAATTAGGCAAAATACTGTAGTGTGATTTGGGTGGAGAAAAAGAAAACAAGAATGTAGTCTTGTAGTTGTTAGAAATGGTAGCAATCTCTGGGTGCAAAGAGTTCATGCATTTTCATTCGAGGTAGATATCATGCTTGGTTATTTTATTTTGCACACGGCTGGCTGGCAATTATATAATACATTAGTTTGGATTGTTATGAAAGGATAGCTGTGAATGCATGCTCAACAAAGAGTGACAATGACAATGTTTGAAGTAGAAGAAAGATTAGTGTGATTTCATGCTGATTCACAAACAGTGTGGAATGATACAAATTCACTTTCTGTTTATGTTAAATCTAAATAAGTCTCAAAATACTTACCAATCCATTCATCCACCCACGCAAAGGCCTGTCTGTGACCCAGGAGCAGCACATCCCTTACCACCTACAGACAACACGTATAACAAGTGTATAAAACTGTTCTTATGGTTACAAAAGTCACAACTGATACTTTGCAGCTGATTCCCTGGGGGTGTGATGCTAACTGAAGGTACTGCTCACTCTGAAGTTTTAATCTGTGCGATATTTTAACAAAATCTAAGCTGAAAGAGCTGACTTAGTTGTAAATACAATAGGTGAAATGATTTATGCAGTTAAACATTAAAAGTCCCTCTCAAATAACATTACAGTCCCAAGTTCTTCAGTTAGTCACTGTCACCTTTTTGTTGAAAATCAAACAGTTAAACAGGACCATGAATGCTTGTATTGATCACACGCTCCTGAAAATGTGCTGTTAAACTAAATTTTGTATTTTTGTTTTCAGACATCTTAAAACTTTTTTGTTTTGCTATTGTCTGCATTGTGTCACCATGGTAACTCCTACATGTATCTTTAATGGTGGAATATTTTACAACACCTCCATCATGATGTCAAAGTGCAACGTATCAGTAGGAGGGTCTGCCACGTTGTGTCCTTGTTACTGCTTTGCCTAGAATATTCTAAAATATAGCTTTAAGCTTCATCTGTCTCCAAAGAGACAAGCAGGCATCAGTCCAAGTTAAGGTCAGATCTGTTGAGAGGCACTCACAGTAAGAATGCATGTTGTTTGAGGGAGTGCAATAAAGATAATAAAATGTCTAATATCATACCGTGGAACATTCCAGGCAAAACTATTACTAGAATGGCAGGCAGCAAACCCTCCACCAGAAAAGTCACAAATTGTACCTTTAAAAATAAATCACTGACCTTGTGCACAAACTGCTCCACTCGTGTCTGCAGACCCCACACTTCAAACTTGACAGTGACCAGTTTATATGAACACATGATGGGTTCCTGAGTGTCTTTCCAGCCCTCCTGAAGCATCCCTCGTGACGTCTTCTCTGATCTGAAGTATCGCAAATCCTACAACAAACAGTGGAAGCCCTTTAACCTTTTATTGTTTGCCAAACTGTCCATTTTCACCTGGATACCTAAAACCCTACATAGTTCCCTTATCAATTTTGTCAAATGCATCAAAGATAGAAAGACTCCATATACATTTTTATGTTCACTACCAACAAGAAACAACTTACCTCTGATTCTTTGTAGTAACGTTCTGGGATCTCATCATATGCAATGTCAACAAAACATATCTCCCTTTCTTGGTCCTTTAACTCTGTGTCGAAAATCTGCAAAACAATTACAAAGATTCAGCATTTGTCACTGTGACTGTCTACAAGGAATCTTCTTTAAAACCAGCAGAGGGCACTCTGGGCACATTCATGTTATCAGCTAGCAAACATCTTATTGTTAAGATACTGCTACATAGAAATTATGTTACAAAGGAGATATGCTCTAAATAATCTGCCCAAAGTTATGAACAGTGTTGGATAATAATCTTGAATATCCACTTCCTGTACGCAGCGCCAAGGACATAAGCCACGTGTGTTACAGCAATGTCAGAGGCATCCAGATTTATGAAGCATTAACTGTTATAGCAAAGACATGCTCCGGGAGATAAGGGCATACATTAAGCTGCATTTTTATCTGATGTTTTTCTGGAATAATAGTTCTGTGTTAAACAGGAACATAGCAGATACTGGAAGAAGATAATACACAAATAGAAAGATACATAGTTTAAAATACACAGCTTTATATTGCTGCAGAGGTAATTTGTAATCTGATCTGTCTAGCATAAACAGCATATCTTAAATGCATACAAGTCATTTTATTGTGAATGAAATTACAGCTAGACCATTTAATTATGTTACATCTAATACATGCATATACTTCTTATTTGTTGTGGTATGAGCTGATCTACATGTTATTGTGCACGTTTGTATCCATTACTGTTCCAATGTCTACAGTGTGCTTTACAAGCGATGTGCTGGTGCAATGGGGTGACATGCCAGTGCATATAAGAGCAGCAACTGAAAGAGCGAATCGTGAGAGCAGGAGAGAGAGAGGAGCTCAGAGGCACAAGTGGAGGAGGTAAACGCTGACAAACGACAGATAAGAAGTGAGGGAGAGGGGCTTGTGGGTAAATGTGTGTGTGTGGTGATGGTGTGCGTGTGCGGTGATGTTGTGTGTGTGCGTGCGTGCATGTGTGTGTGTGTGAGTGAAGGAGGGGGACAGGGCAGAGGAGAGTGCTGAGTGTGAAGAAGTGTGAAAATAAGGAACCAGGCTGGAGATGATGTGGAATACTGTACAAAGAGAAAGAAAAGAATGACGTCAATGAAAACAAAATAAAAATATATAATGACAGCTTGGGTAAATGATTAAAAAGATAATATTGATATTGGCTGAAATAGTCACAAATACAAATATCACACAGTTTGGCCAAAATGTTTGATGTTTTTTTAACTCAAATTTCACAAGATCTCAATAATTGATGCACTCCAATTTGAGCTGAGTTGCCTGTTATATTTGTTACACGCTCAGAGCTACATAAATAGTAGACTTCAATGATAACACTGTAAGCAATAGCACAAGACATGCCCACTAGACATTTTAGCTCTTTTATTTCTTGAACATGTGCTGTTTTTTTAAAGCAAGAATTTTCCATTTCAGACAACTGCTAGGGGCATTATCCAATATATTAGTATTTAATCTGTCACCTTGTCTTGTCGCTGATTATGCACGTCTATCAAAACATCACAGTGATTCACCGAGGCAGTCTGTCCATTTCACTCCCCATCTGTGTTTTTATGTGATTTTCAAATAAGACACTTGAGCAGGTTACACATGGGGTGCTTGGGCCTCACAGAACAACTGGCAAAGCCCTGCCAGTCTGACATAATAGTAAGTAAGACACTATAAAAACTAATGTGTTGGCCTCCTGCCGTGATGTATTTCAAGCCATTTGTCTAGTGCGCACAGTTCTGCTATTTTTTATACTCACTGCCCAGGCAATGGCAGCCTTTCACTGGATGACTAATGCCCATATAAACTGCAGAGTGTAATAAAATATAGCCAACTGCCTAAATGAAATTAGTCTATCCAACAAGTGGAGGAGCCTTTGGCAGAAGTTCAAAGCTCACATATAGAGCTGGCTGTAGCACAGTCCATGTTGTTAAAGAAAGACCTACTTGCCAAATGGTCTTACTCATGTAGCATCAGTGTTTTATTTGATGCCCGCCTCTGTGTTAAAACAACCTATTAAAATGGTGTATTCTATATAACAAGAAAGGTCTTCACAATTAACGGAAGGGGTGTGCAAAAATATCAAAATATTGTGATGCTAAATTTGGTGATACAGTATCATTATCTTGAGCTGCTATATCGATATATCGGCATGAGTAATTTTTGGCATTACATTTGACATATTCACTGTTTTCAAAGTTCAAAGTTTAATTTCTTCACATGTACTAGCCATACAGAGGAATAAAAATTTCGTTTCTCTCTATTCCAAGTGCACAGACACAATAAATAAAAACAAAATATTGCATGATTGGGAGAGTGAGAGACCGTTAAGTCTCCACGAAGCCATTCAAATCATATTTTGATGATTAAAATAGCTTTTCATATTAACTTTACGCAAGTAGTGGTGTAACAAAGAAATATTGTTGCTAAAATGTATTTGGTTCATTAAAAGAACAGCAACATATCACAAAGTATTACATGTGATATATCAATTAGCCCATGTATCGCCATATTGCGATAATATCGTATTGTAAGCCATATATTGTGCATCATATTGAAACGTGATGGACCCTGTGATTCCCAGCCCTAATTAAATGTAATATATCCAATGCTGATACTTACATGGTCATTGCTGCCTTTGTTGTCTTCATATTTGGTCTCTATGTGGATGGAAAACTTGGGTAAAAATGAACACTGCAAAAAATTTAAACAACAACAAGTAAGTACTACAAAAATGTACGTAAGATGTAAGCATCTGTGACTAATTCTTGTATGGGATAAAGTGAGTCATTTTAGCAACCATTTATAAATGGTGACAATAAGACATCTCAATGCTGTCACAACACTGTCACAGTGTCCTTTTATTTGCAATGATTCACATACAAGTGGAAAGGGCTTTAGACAGTAAATATTAGACACACTGCAGGTCCTAAATTACACAAAATGGAGTTTTGTGAGCTTTAATATTGTTACCTCCTCAAAACATATCTTGAGTTGTTTCAATCAAACATGTTTAAGTAACCCTTTGTGATGTCATGTAGTGGTATCTTAAGTTAAAAGCTACCTTCTACCTTTATCTTATTAGAGATTGGCAATTATCAAGAATTAGAGATTCCAGGGCTGAAATCATCCAAAAGATTCAAGTGAAGGTGTGTGAAGCACTTCCTGGATTACCACATGACATCACAAGGTGGAGTGTTTTCTGTTTGAGAGAAAAACACAGCCTAAACGTGCAGGGTTTGTGTATTAAACATGTGTGAATGAAACAAAACACAACTCCAAATAAGTTTTTTGATGAGGAAACAACATAATAATATACATCAGAACCTCATAATATAGACCAGGGGTCTCCAACCTGTAGCTCAGGAGCTACTGGTAGCTCTCCACTCCCTTTCAAGTAGCTCACCAAGGGATTTATGAATTGAATGAATTTATGAAAGTATTATGCTGCATAAGTCAAATTTGATTATTTAAATGGCTATTACTATTGTACATGTATCATTTTGATGCCTAAATTTGTACACTAATAAATGAATAATGATTTATGTTTTATAGGCATCTAACTGTACCTCATTTAAGGCTCGCTGTGGCCCTTATATTTACTCAATTTCTTGTGACCGCTAAAATGAGTAGCTCTCTTGTCATCTCTGTTTTATAAAAGTAGCTCACCGGAGGAAAAAGGTTGGAGACCCCTGATATAGACCATTTAATTTAAAATATATATATATACTCACAGTGTATTCTTTTGTAGAAAGCAGAGATCCAATAGAGATGTGAAAATATAAGAAGAGGTTTTGTTAAAGCTGTGTACTCAACAATAAACAGTGTACTAGAAAAAGCACATTTTAAGAAAAAGAATAATGTTGGGTGCAAAAGGTGACACTGACCTGTGATGGTGTAAGGGTAATAGTTCCAGGCTTTCTCCGTCACGTAGAAGATTTTGGGCACCACGGCTCGAGCCCAGCTGGGTAATTTACTGAAGAGAGATGCAGACAGAGACAGGTGAGAGAGGGGGACATGGAGAGGAGGATAAGATGACTTTGGGTAGTCTGCTACAATCAAAGGAGGAGTGTTTCACTTGTAAAAGAAAAATCTGCTCTCAGACAAGACTGGTGAGGAGGAAGTGTAAAGTGGTTTGATTCAGAGAGAGATGGCCCTGAAGAGACAGAGCTAATGTTTCACTACAGATGGCATTATACAATCCCACTATTCTTTAAGATATGATTATGTCTAGGTGATATAACAAAAAACTACAGTATCATTTACAATTTACATAGATTAGATTAGTTAGATTTTTTTTCTTTTTTTCCCCAAAACAAATTAAAATTGCTTTGAATAGAAATCGAAAAAAGCATAAACATGGCAGACATCAGTGCCGTTCATTCATTCTGCTCCAAACAACATGCTTTCAGCTGTTGATTTTTTGATTAAAAATTTGATTAAAAACTGCCTTAAGCACATTATAATCTCAAAAGGGCTGATGCAGTTGTTATGGTTTATAAGTTGTAAAGTTTAGTAATGTAAAGTTTATTTATGCAGAAGATTTTGATTAATAATCTGCTGCAGTTATAACTTGTAAAATAGTATTTGGAAACATTTGGTTTGATCTGCTGTGGATTGTGGGATATCTCAGTGCTCCTTACTGCTGGTTAGGAACGTGGATCTATTAAAATAATGAACTATTTTACTATATATATCGTATGTCGACATATAGCAAAATATATCAAGATATATTTTTTGCTCCATATCGACCAGCCCTAGTCTATATAGTCTAGGAAAGTAGGACTGATGATTACATGACAGCACAGAAGAATACCAAAAACCTGTGACAATCCCATTTTCTATCCAGCGAAATGCCATTGTCTGCAGTAACACTTCTCCCAGCTCTGCCTCATCTCTGCTGGTTTTGACTGACAGGCTGAACTATTTCCTGATCTGGACTGGAATGGCACACCCAGCATGAAGCCTGAATAAAAACAGCCTTGGACACTGTGCTCTGAGTGTTGGGTTTGTCTCCTCTAACTCGCTCTCTCATTCTCCCTCCTTCTCCCTCCTTCTCCCTGTTTTCTCTCGCTCCCTATCCCCCTTTTTTCTCAACAAAAGAGACTGACACTCCACCCACACTTCCATCTGCTGATTCTTGCGCTTGTTCTCTCCTTGTTCTTTTAAACATCTCTGCCAGAGAACTGCTGTGATGGAGCCCACATTGCCAAATGTGCAAGCTGGGTGGGAGCTCAGACTTTTTCACACTATCCTATGTTAATATTTAGCTTGGTACAAGAAGTAGTACACATGGTCATTGGAGCCAAGTCGTCACCATATCTTGAATCACAAAATAATTTTAATATGATTAGAGGGAATGGCCATGTTTTTACAGAAATTATAATGGAGTTTGGCAGACTGTGAGAGCATGTCCAGCCCTGGTCCCTGATGGTTGATTCACATGAGTAGCATTCCCGCAGACAGATGGACTCACCCTAGAACAGCTCTGCGTGGTGTTTGGAATGAAAAACTGTAGACTTCTTTAATATAGTTTTTAGTTCTGCAGTTTTTTTTATAGAAACATAGCATGATTTTAAAGCAGAACAATGGCTAATAGGAGAAGATTTTTAATAGATGACCTTTAGACACAATATGCCTTCATTATCATGCAGAGCGTGAAAGAAAGATCAGTGGGCTGAGATATGAAGGAGGTGGAAATTAATATTGTTGACATTACAATGTTTGCACATTTTGACTATGCTCAAAGGCAGTATATTAATGACAATACGAAATGTCCCAGGTTTCCAAGAAAAATAAGACATTTAAATGTTGTGTTCACATCTGTCATGCAAACACATTTTATTATAGTTATCAAGAGTATGTGTGTTTCATTTATTCAGTGCCATCAATATTCAAATCATATTTACTGTGTCAAAAGATATTACTGATAAGACCTCAGATCTCTTGTTAACCTAAGACATAATTAATGAATGTGTTTGTGGCACTGGTTGTCCGAGTCCAATAGTGTTCCTGCTCCCTGTGCTCCACTGCAGAGCAGTTCTGCTGACTCACTATAATTGGTTTTGAGTCGAGTGAGTGCTGACGCAGGTATTTGTGCTCAAATGACCCTCGGCATTTGTGCATCCATCTTTTCCTATTTTATACAGTTCCTCCAAATTCTGTTGCAGTCACACATTGTTGCTACTAGAGCCCACCGATATATCGGTTGGCCGATATTATCAGCCGATATGGGCACCTGGAAGCATATCGGCTATTGACCAATATGTTTGCTGATATGGGTTGATATTTCACATGGGCATGCTATACTCTCTACATTATGTAATCCAATTTACAGACAGATAAATGTCCTAATATGTGGCTCCGCATCAGTATTTATCTGCGGAGTAATTTGTCTGTGTGTGTGTCCATGCTTTCCCTTAACACACCCCCAGAGTCACATCATGCACATGCTCTTGTTTACACCCGCAGACAGAGATCCATGTGCGCAACACTGAGATTATATTCTTTTTATGGACAATTGGTTTGAGCCTGGATTAAAAGGACATTTATTAGTGCAGACTTGTGATGTGAGGAGGAGCCTGTGTGGGCGGTGAGTGTTGGAAATATGTTGACTTTGAAGCTAGTTTTGGTTAGCGATTAGCTGCTGTAACTCCCGCACATAAACAGGCTGTTTTCTATTGGCCTATTGTAAAGTGACTATATTGGCCGTATATATGTTTCTGGACCAGCATTGATATATAAATGAGCTGTGAATAGAGGTGTGAATGATCCACATTTATGCATATAATTAATTACAGCGGCACACAGCATTTACAGCTTAAGGCTAATAGCGGTAGTTTCTTTACTAGCTAGTAGTTTTGGGTCGGTCGCGAACGACACGGCTCTTAGAGCCGGCTCTTTGAAGCAAACAACAGGAGCCTGCTCCTTATTGGGAGCTGTGTTTTCTCTGTCTCAATTTTTTTTCTTTTCAGGCCGCGTGCAGACTTGTGGCAGTTTGACAGTGGGCAACAGCTGAAAACGAAACTTTCAGAAATCTGCGTGTGCATAGGATAGAAAAAACATGCATATTTGGCTGTAGTTCAGCATAAAATAAATAAACCAGGACTAATCTTGGGCTCGAGAGACGGAGAGAGATAGACCCCGAGTCCCAACACTCAGTCCTGGTTCAGTTCTGGTTTAGTCCTGTTTTACACATGGTTTAGATCTGTTTTAGTCCTGGTTTAGTCCTTTTTCAGTCCTGGTTCAGTTCTTGTTTAGTCCTGCTTGCAACATAACAATCTGAAGAGCCACTTGGGAGCCGAAAGAGTCAGCTGCTTTTAGTGAGCAGAGCCAAAAGAGCCGGTTCTCTAAAAAGAACTGGAATACCCATCACTAGTAGCTAGAATGTTATGCAAAAATGCCATTAGGATGATCTACTGTCTGTAAATATGATGCAAAGAGGCAGAATAACAATAAATGTTGCCTAAATAAACCCAATTTAAAATCCACTAGAACCAAACCTAAGTTTTTTTAAACAAGTCATGATTTGCAGTGAATTTTTACATGACTGAATATATCGGTGATTATATCGGCTATCGGCAGCGCCCACTCCCATTTTATCGGTATCATATCGGCCACAACAAAATCCATATCGGTCGGGCCCTAGTTGCTACATTATGTTTTTGTCTTTGTAATTTATCTACACCTTCAATACACAAAATTCCATTCAAATTATACAGTTCTATACTAAGATAAAAAAAATAAATATCATGTTTAAATATTATTAAAGAAAATTTGCTTTTAATGTCTAACTTTTTTCTCTATGATTATGTGTTTTCATCTTTGCTGTATTTGTTTATTGCACTTTTGACAGTTTTAATGTGTTTTGTAAAGTGTTTGTATTTGAGTGTCCTGAAAAGCAGTTTATAATTAAAATCTATTATTTTGTATTATGTGTATAGGTTTTGTGAAATGTTAAATGTAATCGGTTATATTCCCTTGATTAGATTAAATAAAGTTATAATTTAGAAAAACAGTGGAAACAGTGGCTGAATGAGAGTGCTGTGAGTGGAGGTGTCTGACCTGTTGAGGTAGACCCGTTTCTCTGTGAACTGTCCTTGGCCGTGCACTGGATCCTCAAAGGGCTCATTCTGCACCACCTCCACCCCCTCTCCCCGGTCACTTTGCTCATGGCTGTGTTTACTGATCATGTACAGCTGACCGATCCGGTACTGAAACACAAAACATAAACACACATGAACACATTTGAATATAATTAAAAAAAAAAAAAAAACATTCAGTAGTACAATTATGACATATTGCAATAATCAGTAATCTCCAACAGTCAGCTGTGCTCAAACAGTCAGAGATACAGGATTACATTCATACCAATCTCCATACAGATGTACAACAACTCACACTTATGTAACAGATAACCCTATGTCCTGTCAATCATCATCTCTTCCTTGCGACCTCTTGCTTGATTTTTTTTAAAACTTATTTTCCATTTCATTTTGACTTCAGTCTCTTGCTGTCTTTTTTGCTAGTTGTTTAGAATTTATTACTACCATTTATACTCTGTGTTATTATAATGTATTGTGATGTGTGAGTTACTGTGTCCAAATAATTTCCCCTGTGGATCAATAAAGTCTAAATCTTAAAACCAATAAAATCTTAGCTACTGAAAAGCAGAAAAAAACTTGTGACTGATGAAAAGTATTTTTTGAAATAAAACTTCATTGCAAATTAGCCATGACTGTAAATATTAATAAGGTGCACTATGTAACTTTTCTTGGAGAGGGTCCACCACCTTCTTGGGTCTGCAGTGATGTTATTGCTTTATCTGGAATATTCTACAGTATGGCAATAAAAGTATCCATTCACTTAAAGTTAGTTTTTATTGCTCAAAAATACCTTGAAATACAGGCATTCTTACTGTGAGTGGGATAACTTCTACATAGATCTGGCCTACAATTTAGCTTTGTGATGTCACATGCTTGTTTTTATGGAACTAGTTCAATACAAATTTCACACATATTCCATGCAAAGGAATAACAATCAGTGAGCAGACCTGCCACCAGAAATGTTAGGTAGTGGTAGTAGTAGTGGTGGTAATAGTAGTAGTGGTAGTAGTAGTAGTGGTAGTAGAGGTAATAGTGGTAGTAGAGGCAATAGTGGTAGTAGTGGTGGTAGTAGTAGTAGTGGTGGTAGTAGTAGTAGTGGTGGTAGTAGTAGTAGTGGTGGTAGTAGTAGTAGTGGTGGTAGTAGTAGTAGTGTGGTAGTAGTAGTAGTAGTGGTAGTAGTAGTAGTAGTGGTAGTAGTAGTAGTAGTGTAGTAGTAGTAGTGGTGGTGGTAGTAGTGGTGGTAGTAGTATTAGTAGTAGTGGTGGTAGTAGTAGTGGTGGTAGTAGTGGTAGTAGTAGTAGTAGAGGTAATAGTGGTAGTAGAGGTAGTAGTAGTATTAGTGTTAGTAGTAGTAGTATTAGTGTTAGTAGTAGTAGTAGTTAGTGTTAGTAGTAGTAGTAGTATTAGTAGTAGTAGTAGTAGTAGTAGTAGTTAGTAGTAGTAGTAGTAGTGTTAGTAGTAGTAGTATTAGTAGTTAGTAGTAGTAGTTAGTAGTAGTAGTAGTAGTATTAGTGTTAGTAGTAGTAGTAGTAGTAGTAGTAGTAGTAGTAGTAGTAGTAGTAGTAGTAGTAGTAGTAGTAGTAGTAGTAGTAGTAGTAGTAGTAGTAGTAGTAGTAGTAGTAGTAGTAGTAGTGTAGTAGTAGTAGTAATAGTAGTAGTAGTAGTAGTAGTAGTAGTAGTAGTAGTAGTAGTAGTAGTAATAGTAGTATAGTAGTAGTAGTAGTAGTAATAGTAGTAGTAGTAGTAGTAAGTAGTAGTAGTAGTAGTAGTAGTATAGTAGTAAGGTAATAGTAGTAGTAGTAAGTAGTAATAGTAGTGTAGTAATAGTAGTAGTAGTAGTAGTAGTAGTAGTAATAGTAGTAGTAGTAGTAGTAGTAGTAGGTAATAGTAGTAGTAGTAGTAGTAGTAGTAGTAGTAGTAGTAGTAGTAGTAGTAGTAGTAGTAGTAGTAGTAGTAGTAGTAGTAGTAGTAGTAGTAGTAGTAGTAGTAGTAGTAGTAGTAGTAGTAGTAGTAGTAGTAGTAGTAGTAGTAGTAGTAGTAATAGTAGTAGTAGTGGTAGTAGGTAGTGTAGTAGTAGTAGTAGTAGTAGTAGTAGTAGTAGTAGTAGTAGTAGTAGTAGTAGTAGTAGTAGTAGTAGTAGTAGTAGTAGTAGTAATAGTAGTAGTAGTAGTAGTAGTAGTAGTAGTAGTAGTAGTATAGTAGTAATAGTAGTAGTAGTAGTAGTAGTAGTAGTAGTAGTAGTAGTAGTAGTAGTAGTAGTAGTAGTAGTAGTAGTAGTAGTAGTAGTAGTAGTAGTAGTAGTAGTAGTAGTGGTAGTGGTAGTGATAATCTGTGTTACTGATATTATAAACCTTGTACATCAACGCATGAATGCGTGTGAATGTATGCTTCCTGTGTATTTTTAATTAGCTAATCATTTCCAGGGGTGATTACAGTGGAAGGTACTAGGCCCTGCTGGAAGCCTTTGAATGATGTTATTGGTGCTCATTGGACAAGTTAATTAATGTTACTCTTCATATAATAACATCATCTCCATTTGAGACACACATCAGAATATTCATTTGATGTGAGACCAATTTAGTCGGCAATCTCCACATGATCTAGTCTACAGTAAATCTTCTGTCTGTGAAGAGCAAATAGAAATTCACGCTAATTAATAAAAGTCTTCAAAATGAGATGGGATCAAGGCCTTTAAGAGACAGCAAAGTTAAGTAGCAATGATGGATTAGAAAAGGAAATGAGTAAGACACAGTGCGCCTCTATATTACCACCACTTGTGCAACCAAGATGGTACTCTGTGATAAAAATGAATGGGAAGCAAATGACCCAACCGACCCACCTCCCTACAATTTCTTATTCTAAGCCGTGAGACTTAACAGGCGCCATACCTGATTTTTACTTTCTTAGAAAAGATGGAAAACAGAAGTACTTTATTTCAAAGTTACATTCCACACATAGTCAAGTTTTGCGGTTATGTTGACGCTAACATTAAAGGTGCACTGTGTAACTTTTGTGGTGGAGGGTTTATCACTTGCTTGTCTCCATGGAGCTAAAATTGCTTTGCCTTGAATGTTCCACAGTATGACATTAAACTTAAATCTTACATTTAATACAGTTACAGGTGTCTTTATTGCTCAGTTCAATGAAAAACAAGATTCATACTGTAAGCAGGGTGATACCTCCACACATCTCACTTACTGTTACTATGGAAATAGATATGCTTAATGTCATATGGTGGAACATACCATTAAGGCAAAGCAATAGCATCTTCATGGAGACAAGCTGGTGGCGGACCCTCTGCAACAACAGTTACACAGTGCACCTTTAATTAAGCATACTAACAGCAAACCTGCATTACTTCCTGATGATAAAAACATTAATTAGATACAGCACAGAAATCATTTTTACTTTATTACATGAAAACAAATAGGGCTTCTTCAAGGGTCAGTTGAGAAATAATGGATTCAGCAGCACGAGGAAGGGCAGTGGACTGGAAACAATCTTAATTACAAGATAAGGTAGGTATCTGTGCAACACATGTTATCACCACAGATCACCATTGTAACTTTCAGAGCATTTTAGAGTCAAACCGACATGGTGAGATGGTGGTAATGAACCTGTGCTCAGCACTGGTCGTATTCTCTACGAGTGCACACGTTTGCACTGTGTGACCTTTATCAGAGCTGCTGCCGTGCTGTCAGCGGCTGTCGGAGGAGGAGGACCTGAGGATTGGTTTATATTGTTCACATATGCAGCTGTAGGCTTATTAGTCAGATAAAAAATAACTGCACTCTCAAGTTTGCTCAGGATCCAGATTAGTTCTCACTGTTTTCCCACTATATTCTAAGATCACCTCTGATCAACAGCCTTTTGTGCTCCACTTATTGATTCTACATAAATCCATAATGATTAAATGGAAATAAATAAATACTACACATCTATACTGCCCTACAAAGGAAAAACACAACTGCATATTTTGTCAAAACTTAAAAGTTAAGACCAAAATCCACATTCTTAACACCTGTTTTATTTAGTGGTAAGATTTTATGGCTCAACTCGGTCTTGTTTTTGAGAAATCTTGATGTCAAATTTGCAGTATCTCGTTTCTTGAGTGATTCAAAGGAAAAGTGAGGTCACTGCAGCAATGAATGTTGTAAGTGACGAATTTAAACTCGGATGCTGAATTTTTGCATCGCAACTCAGATACTGCTACATGTTTAAAGGTCTAATTCTGAAATGTACATAAAGACTTTAAACTTTAATAACTTCTTATTCAACAGACATTGTACTTTTTCTTTGCACTACTGGAAATTGTTGGTTATTTTTTGGACATACAATTTGGTTATACATTGCATTACAGGTTACAAAGTATTAAATGTTTTCATTTTAGTTTTTGCCTTTTAAATCTGCTCTTGGGTCATAGTGTCAGTTGAGTTTCAGTTTTATCGTTTATCCCCTGTATTGGTATAATTCAAAAAGTGATCGGTCATTATGGAGCTGGACAGAGGGCATGTCTGCTCTGGAAGGACAAGGGCCCAATCATGTGTGGGATTACAGTGAAGAGGCTGAGCGTACCGCAGATCAGCCCTGAATCAGAGCTGCTTTTGATTAATAGCATGATTCAGGCAAATGTGGCTTGATTATGTTCTTTCCATAAGCAACACCTCACATTTAAACACTACAGTAATTAAGCACAACACATGGGCTGGTAAAATGTATTTATAGCAACACCAAAGTCAATCTACCTCCTACCTTTGAAGATAAGATGAAAATTGCACTGAATGCCATTTTTATATAGAAAATAAATGTATGGCAGGACTTCAATTATGTTATGTTATGACAAAGTACATTTAGAAAGCATTATAGTTGATTCCCGGGTAAAGGATGTTTTATGGTTTGGTGAATTCAGATACTTTTATATCTTTAAAAGTAATTCAGTTTATAACATAAAACTGTAAAACTGAACACATTTAAAGAGGGAGATATTAAAGGTAAATGGTCACATTTTTATAAAGCGTTTTTCCATCTTCAAGGCACTCAATGCACTTTACATCAAGGAACCACTCACCCATTCACACACACATTCATACACCAGTATACAAAGGCACTGGGGGCAAGATGGGTTAAGTGTCTTGCCCAAGGACATGATAGCATTCATCTGTGGGATTTGAACTGCCAACCTTTGGATCAATAGCTACTGTCAGAGCTACTGTCGCCCACACTTCTGTTGATATTAATTAACGCATAACATATTTAGAGCGCTATCTTAGCTTTAATTGTTTTGAAAATGGGATGTCTATCTCTGTCTTGTACAAGGCTTTACTTTGTTCAAGACAGGGCAACTGTCTATGGCAACTTAAACAAAGTCCTACAAATCAGCAATAAAATCATTAACCTGAAACCCATGAGTTACTGTGACAATTACCATGATTTCTAGCACAACCCTTTGTAAATATCATATCTCTGCATACAGTGTCGTCATTTGATTTGCACCAGTTCAACTTTAATAAAACTTTCATAATCTCTTTTATTCAAATCCTTTCATTGACATTTCAGGAGCTTAGCTGGTGCTTCTAAAAAAAGCTCCCCACGCAGAGTGCTGCTATAGCTACTGTAAATGATGCACACGCTCCCTCCATCATGCGTATCCAAGGAGAGTAAATAGTCTGAATGAAAAGAATGAGCAGAAAAGCATTGGACTAAAGTGATGTATCCACTTTAAACCGCTGTCTAAGAAAAGCCCTTACCCAGGCTGTAGCAGTGATCAGAGCTAAAAATAGTGAGGATATGCATACATTATCCCTGCCTTTCTGTCTGCCCGTGTGCGCAATCACTGGAAAGCTTGAGGACGCCTTGACAAATGTGCAGTGGACAAAAACAAGATTCTTAATAGGCAATGTTCAGCTAACAGAGAAAAAGAGCTTGTTCTGACTGGGGAAGCGGAGTGTTATTTCCAGGATGCAAGCAAAACATGTAATCACTTGACAGAATCGCTACAGCGGTGAAGGGACCAAGTGTTCAGTCTCGTGTCTGGAATGTTGTGAGTTTAATTGATCATTAAGTAGCAGAGACGTGGCGTGTGCACAGAGGCCGCTACTGCCCTCGTACTTATTGGATTTGTTAGATGAAGAGGCACTCTGGTTTCAAACTGGTCATTGATTGAGAAAGAAACAAACTAATGTACAAAGTGTCAAAATTAATTAAAGCGTGAAAACAAAGGATTTTTTGTGAATGTTGATCTGTAGTATATTTATGACAGGGTGGTTATAAATAATAGCAACAGTAAATAAGTTGTGAAATGTGATAAGACAATGTATAATGCATTCAGATAGGGTTCATTCCACGCCATTTCAACAAATGGCCCACGCACTTCGATCTCAAAAATTTTTTAAAACTTTTCCAAATAGTCCCTTACTGCCATGTACTAATCCTGTGAAGTTTTAGTGATTTTCAATCATTACTTTTCAAGTTACAGCTGTATTCACAGGTCGATATCTCCGTAAGTATCACAAATAGAGGGCTGAACTTTTGTAGGCTTGTAGTCCTCTACTCTGTGTTCAAATAACATCTATTGAAAGTTTGGTATCTCAACTTATTGTCATTTTATATGAACTTAAAAAAAATAAAATAAAAAAATAATTTCAGTGGCCTATCATTTTTAGCCCCTTTTTAAACCTACTTGTAGGTGTAGGAGACCCTTAAATGTTTTTGAGAATCAAGATATGTACTAGGACTGTTAAAAAAAAATCACCAAATGTTGAAAATTTGAAATAGGTTATGTGTGAGGGTAAGGAAACGTTAACATGGTCCGACATTCACATGTAATTTATGGCATGTGGGTAGTGATGAAAAAATTTTGAATTTTTTTTTTTTTTTCCTGAAAGACCAGAAAAGACCTTTCATATGGTACCAAACATATGTATATTATGAAGCTCCTTCAATTTTTTATTCTATCTTGAACATTCACATTTGCGGTTTCAGTCATAGTGCAACACACAATAACACGAGTATACAGTGACCATATACTATGTTTTATTCCAGCAGCTAAGGTCACTAAACATTTAAAGACTGAATCAAATGGTTTGATAATAATTTTAATGTGACAAGTTATCTGACATCCAAGAAAACAGCTGTAGATTATTCTCATATTAAAGAAACAATCAAGTAATTTTCAACAATATGATATTGTCTTCTGTTAGTTGTGGATGTTGTGGACGACACATTGATGTTCAAGACTATGCAAAACGTTACAACAGATTTAGGGGGGCAAGGAACTCAAACATTTGGAAGCAGCCAAGAAGTGAGGAAACAGTTCCCTTATCATGTTCGAATCGCCTGAGCAGGTAAAGAAAATCTTATGGAGCCTTAAATGGAAAGTGCGAAGATTGTCCATTCAAGGGAAATTGCAGGATTTGTGGGAATTTATCACATATAAAAATTCACATTCATCTTTATTCCGGGGTTGACCTCTATAGTTCCAAATGCACATTTGTTTTGAAGGTGTTTTTTTTTTTTTTATTTTAAGGAGAGTAAGTACATGTTTGGATCACCATGGGACCAAGAGCCTACTCCCAAGAAATTAATGAAGTGGACAGATGACAAAGCACCTGATTCAAGTTATAAGGCCACACCGCAGTCAACATGGTCAACTGAACCATCTAAAACCAGTCCACCAGGGATGAAAAAGCCTCCACAGGTTGAGGAGAATTCTGGTGGTCAAGCTTGTGGAGACTGTCCATGCTGCTGTGACCTCGACCAGAAAATCCAGAAGCTTCGGGACCGACTGCGGGTTTATGAAGATGTGCCTACCAATACTGATGACGAATAAGACATACATGTTCTGTGTTCAGTGTTTTTAGATATCTTGTAACACATCCTGTTGATTCATTCTTGTTCATTCCTCATGTTTGGGAGCTTTAGCTGCTGGAATAAAACATAGTACATGGTCACTGTATGCTTGTGTCATTGTGTCAAATGCAAATGTTCAAGATACAATAAAAAATTTAAGGAGCTTCAAAAAATACATATGTTTGATACCATATGAAAGGTCTTTTTCTGGTCTTTCAAGAAAAAAAAAATAAAATTCACTACCCACATGCCATAAATTACATGTGAAAACTGGACTATGTTACGTTTTCTTGTTTTTAACAGGACCCTCACACATAATCTATTTCAAATTTTCAACATTTGGCATTTTTTTGTTTTTTTTAACAGTCCTAGTACATATCTTGATTCTCAAAAAAATTTAAGGTTCTCCTACACCTACAAGTAGGTTTAAAAAGGGGCTAAAAATGGTAGGCCACGAAAATTAACTTTTTTTTTTTCATATTCAAGTTCATATAAAATGACATTGAGTTGAGATCCCACTTTTGATAGATGTTATTTGAACGCAGAGTAGAGGACTAAATGGCTACAAAATTTCAGCCCTCTATGTGTGATACTTAGGGAGATATCGACCTGTGAAAACGGCCGAGGAAAAATTGCGTGCATTTTGGGCCCATAAATTGACACATACTCCCCTCACTAAATGAGCTGTAACTTGAAAAGTACTGATCAAACATGACTAACATTTCACAGGATTGGTACATAATAGTAA